TTGTGCACTGACCTGGAGAAACAGGATGCCCTTAGTGATCAAATCAGGCCGTTCTTTACGCAGACACATATTCACATCACTCGGAACACAACAGTAATATTCACCATTGACAGTGGCACCACGGGGTAGAAAATCCACATGAACAATGCCACGTTTGTCCCAGAAAACACTTGCTACCACTTTATCTGCAGACACAAAAGATTTGTCTCTTGTACAATTTCACAACAGGTTATGCGTCGACTATCCAGGATCAGGCACTCCACAAGCTGAATGTTCACAGGAATGACTGCTGTGGGCTGGGAATCAACATGGCCGGGATCACATCTTTGAAACGTTTACACCATTAAATGTCTTACTGCAGCTGAGCGTCTCATCGCTGTACTGTGCTTGAAGTCTTCTCTAGATATCTGTGGGTTTTACGCCTTCACAGGAAGCTTCATCACCACACGCTGTTCCATGCACGCACTAACACTGTTGTCAGCCATCTTGATTAATGCTCTCTGGACTGGCCCGTGACGTTTGCGCCGCCTATCAGTAATAGGACACACATACATACATACACATACATATATATATTTTTTTTTTTTTTGTTTAATTTTATGCAAAAGTGGGTGTTCCTCTTGTTATGTTGTCACACCCCTGAGTGCTGCTCAGAGTACATACACATGTAAATTACTTTGTGTTCTTGCATCAAGCCCACTTATGCCACATGACTACATTGTCCCTGGGCACTTAGTAGTCATTATAAATCTCTCGCACTGCAGTAGCTTTGGCTTTACTAGAACCACTTCAAGCAGATGTAGGCCTATGAATCACAGCCAAACATTTATTGAATATTTTATTAAAAAATGTAATAAAGCACTATAACATACATTACATAGGTTTCATCAACAGTCTATGAAAAAAGAAGTTGTATTAACACTTGCAAATATATGAATGTTTCGGAAAAGTATATCCTCCTCAATACTTTTTGATTCTGCTAGCATAAGTGAACCCTGGGCCATTAGAAGGGTGACTATACTGTATTATACAGTGCTCAGCATAAATGAGTACACCCCAACAGATTTGTCAGAGAACCTTAACCCCCCCCGGTCACATCCAGTGCGACTTGGCATGCGATTTGCATGCCATGCAACTTGCAAATCGTATGCCAAATTGCATCCTATTGTCTGCAATTACAGCGGTCAAATCAGTGCGGTTCCGATTTGGTCAGAGCCGCACCAATTTCTAAAAGTAGTACATATACTACTTTTGGTGCAATTTGCATAGACATCTGTGTCAGATGTCTTGCAAATCACACCTGAAATCGGCATCTCACCCGACTTTGAAATTGTGCGACTTCACTGTAAGTCGCATGATTTCAAAATCGGGCTTGATGTGACCAGGGGGTTACTTTCCTTTCAGAATCAACATTTTCTATGGGATATTATACTACAAAATATTCCCACAAATGCAAGCCATTGATTGCAAACAAGATTTGTTAATTTGCACAAACAAAAAAGTTTTTTCCTAACAAAATAATTCAAGACCATGTTGCAAAAAATGAATACACCCCAATGAAAGCCTTTAGGAGCAAAGCTACATTTTAGACAACAAAACCCTAATTCATAAGAAATCAACTACAGGTGAGTCTAATTATTCATTAAACAGATATCCAGCAGACAGTTGATTACAAAAAGGCATTACTTAAAGAAAACCCCTTCCCATTTCATGATGTCAGCAATGGCACCACATGGGATTGAAATGTCACAAGGCCTGAGAAAGAAACGAATTTCTTTACACAAGAAAGGTGAAGGCTACAAGAAGATCAGCAAAGCTTTACTTATCAGTCAGAATACTGTTGCAAAAGTGATACAAAAATATGAAAAAGATGGAACTGCAACCATCTCACAGAGACGTCCAGGACGCTCATGGAAGTTAACACCTCAACAACAGCATCTTCTGATGAAAAGGGTGAAGAAAATCACCATGCAAGTTCCCTGCCGTTATCTAAAGATGTAGAAAGCCAAACTAGGGCGATTGTTTTCCGAGACACAATGAGGTGTACACTGCAGAGAAATGGCATGCATGGGTGTCATCCACGAAGAAAGTCTCTCCTAAAGCCCATGCACAAAGAAGCCTGCCTACAATTTGCCGGAGCCAATGCTGAAAAAGAAGACAACTACAGGGACTCTGTACTCTGCAGTGATGAGACCAAGATAAAAGTTTTTGGAACTGATGGCTGCAAAACTGTATGGTGTTGCAAAGGTGAGGAGTACAAAGAAAAATGCATGGTGCCTACAGAGAAACATGGTGGTGGCCGTGTCCTTCTGCAGGGCTGCATAAGTGCTGCTGCTGTCGGAGAGTTGTATTTCATTGATGGTATCATGAATTCACAGATGTACTGCTGTATATTGAAAGAAGATGGTACCACCACTATGTGCTCTTGGTCGTCGGGCACTTTCCCAACATGACAATGATCCAAAACACACATCTAAGGCCACTGTTGCATTTCTGAAGAACAACAGGGTGAAAGCGATTCAATGGCCAAGTATGTCTCCTGATCTGAACCCAATCGAACACCTAAGGGGAATTCTGAAAAGACAAGTTGAGCATCACTCTCCATCCAGCATGCAAACTCTAAAAGAGGTCGTTCTTGAAGAATGGAAAAAGATAGATATTGCAATATGTCGTCAACTTGTTCATTCCATGCCTAGAAGACTTGGTGCTGTCCTTACAAATCATGGAGGTCATACAAAATACTAGATGTACTAGTTCTTGTTGTGGGGTGGATTCATTTTTACATTAACTAATTTGAGTAAAGCTGAAGATTTTGTAGTCTAAGTTATATTATTAACTTTACTTTCATATAATGAGCTAAACAAATGTTCTATAAAACTCAGTGTTGTCAAAATTTTGGAAATTGTTCTTGTGTTTATTGAGAAACTGATTAAAATCTTACTTTTCAAAAAGGGGTGTACTCAATTATGAGGAGCATTGCAGCAATGAAACTATCCACAGCGTTGTCACCCATTCCTCAACACCACAGCTTCAGACCATCACTATGTATTGTGACAATACCTCTTCAAACAGTGGCCCAGCACTGTCACAGCTGAAGAGTCAGGTAACTTTCACTGTTGTCAGATTTGCCTCTTCTAATAACACAGCGCAATCACACCAGCCTGGAGAATGCAGAGAGATGCAGGAAAGTGATGATTTTCTGACCGCTGAAGCCTGTACAAACCTACTGTATGAATATAAGATAGCATTCAGGTGAACAGTAATAATTTAAAAAAGGCAAATGCTTAAAAAGTGTTACTAAACCCAGGACCCTGCATTCACTATATCTGGTTTCCCACAGTACACACAACATGGAAATGCAATTATTTTAGTAAATATAAACTGCTAAATACCTTTTCTCATCAGCAGCATACAGCAGTCTTGAGACTTCTATAAGTGTCTGGCTGAGCACTGGCTAAAGCTTGAAGAAAGTGTTTTCATTCTGCTCTGACTGTCCTATGAGGCTGTATAACCCCTGATCCTCTGTCTGGACAGTGCTGAATGGCACTGTGCTGATCACATGCACCCTCCCGAAAAAAGGAAAAAAAAAACTCTAGCAATACACACCAAACTAAGCATTTGCAGAGTGCCTCCTAGGACTCTGTACTATCAGCAAATGGATTAGGGACAGAAGAAGGGGAAGATCAGAGAAGACAGGATCAAACAGCCTTTTCTACACAATGCAGAGTATTAACCCCTTAGGTTCCACAGTGAGTATATCAAGCATGCTTTACTGCATATAGAGACTGATTTTACTGTTGTGGGTTTAGTAACACTTTAACACCAATATTTTTCTGCAGTAACATACACAGTCAGGCTCCATGCACACTGGCCTAAAAAAAAAAATTGCTGCTTCTACAGGATTTTGTGTTTTGCCTTCAGAAGCAGCTCAGTGTTATCCTATGTGTCCATGCACATTAGGAAGATTAGAGGCATATTTTAAGCTAAATGTTTAAAGGCAGGAAAAAAAAAAACCCTTCTGGTATACATTTTTGATTGGAGCTTTCTGGCAGGAAAATCGCTATACTCTCCTAAACGGTGTACAAAAGAGCTCTATATCAGCGTTTTTTTTTCTGCCAAGGCAACTGGCCTTTGTTTTAAGCCCAGTGTGCATGGAGCCTCAGGAGTCATTAGGGTTGCCAACTGTTTTCAGGATCTGAAGGGTTCTTTGATCAGAGTTCAAGGTAGGTGCAGTTGACCTGTTTTGGCTGCTTTTTCATTCCCATTGACTTTCACGACAAACAAACAAAACGGTTAACACAAGCCCTAAGACATTAATAGCAACTTTAGCCATACTAAATAGCTTTCAAGAAAACAAAAAACCATCTGCCGCCACTGCAGTGAGTGCTGAAGTCCCCGCTCAATGTCCCAAAACAATGAGAGAGCAAAAATGTTCCTTCTATCATATTACCTTGTACAAGAGAACTAGTGCAAATAAGTAGTCTAGAACAACTAGCCTCATTTTTGCCCTATGACTTTAACAACAAAATAAAAACCTCAACAGCTGTTGACAGGTATAAAAGTAAAACCATACTTGCAGCAACTTTCAGTGCCCTCACCCACCTGAATGCATCTTCAGTCTTTTACCAGTCAAAGCTGTCATTTTATTGTCCCAAATCTTGCCTGCCTCCTTCCAAACATTCCTACTGGCCTGTAAGCCAACCCATCACTACAATGGGCAAATGGGAACATCAGAGCTCTGTCTGACCAGATTGTCCTGGGACAAAATGCTGCATGTATGTGCTGGTACCTTTAGATACCTGCACTTTATACCTGTCTGCAGCCTTTTTTTCCTTAGTAAAGTGAAAGTTCCACTTTAAGGATTCATTTGTTTTCAGTGAAAATGCCTTCTCCTATGGTCTATTTAAGTGATGCTTACGTTACAAGTCCAAAGGTCAATTCTGTGAAAACATTTTCTCCTTTGGTCCATTCTGGGCATGTCAGTTCAGCACAAATCAAAATCAAGTCTCAGTTCTAGATTCATCCATAGGATCAGGCTGCTGGGTGTCATCTAACACATAATCCAGGAGTTCCGTCTCCATTTCATTCTCGCTGCCTTCAGAAGGATGAAAATCCTCTTCCTCCTCATCATCCTCCTCTTCTCCAGATTCATAACTCAGCTGCTCCTTCTTGTCAGCAGAAGTGGATGGAGCAGAGAACAGGGCTAAGACAACGGCAGAAAAAAAGAAAACAGTCTTAGGATTAAAAAGTGTTTGTCTACTCTAGACAAAAAAAAAAAAAAAAAAAAAAAAGCAGCATCTCACTACAATACATTCATATTCCTAAATGATTTATCCATTTAAAAAGTACAGAAAATAACTGCTGATCTGCCAGAAATCCAGTGATATCCTAAAATGTTTTTTAGGCAGACAACGCAGCGCCTCTGCTGTACTGAAATTCGAAGGAGCATTGTCCACCCTGCCTGCTGTACTACAGTACTCATCCTATCTCTGCCCATCCCTGTCCCTCTTAATATGCACACAATGATGTCTTGCTGCTTTGAGTCCATAAAGCCACCTCACACACCCATGTAGGAAAAAGTGTTTTGGAAGATGTAGAACTGGAGATGTGCCTACATCAAACGGGAACCGACCTCCTAGCTGCTGCCCCTGAAGGAATTTTACAAGCTTGGTTATGCTACAAGGAGAAATAAAAGCAGTTTCTCACTTTAGGAACAAAGTAATAATAATGCTGGAATATGCTCTACAGCAGCCTTTTTCAATCAAGGTGCCTTCAGATTTCTTCAGGGGTGCTTTAGCAAAATGCCTAAAAATTGCTCAAAAATTGTACACAAGCCAATGGGTGGATGAAGCTTGCCTTTTAGTTATACAAAGCCACAGGTTTTCATTGTGCACCATTGCAACCATCCAGTTGCCGGCATCCTAATAACCAATGATGTCATTGGTTGATAAGGAGGACGCCGGGCACAGCATCCTTGTTGCCCCTCCCCATCAGCACTGGGGTCACATTAGCTGAGTGAGGGAGAGAAACTTAGGGAGAAGAGAAACTTTTGAATACTAGTCAGTACCAGTGTCCAAAGATGTATTTGCTTTGGAAGAATAAATCCCCTCCAACGTTGTGTGTCCTACATATGCAGATATTTTTGCATTATGTAAAACTATTTTTTTACATTTTAGAATAGGGTCTCAAGATTGAATATAATTTTAAAAAGGTGCCTTGACTGAAAAAGGTTGAGAAACACACCTAGAGGGCAATAGAGAGGTTTGGGGCTAAATCTGGATAATGTCTTGACATCTTTTAACATATATAACTCTTAAAAACAAGTCGAACACTGCATGCATTTATAATTGAAAAGAACAGTAGTAACTGATCATTGCATACTCTAACAATGGACACAGAAAGACCAAGTACAGCCAAAAGGATAACAGAGCAAGAGACTAATGAATCAAACTGAAAAAACAGTGGACAGCCCATCCTGCCTGTGTATTACAAGGCAAGTGTTGAGGGACCAGCTCTGGCTATCTCATAGCAACTCAAATCACAGAGTGTGCCAAACTAAGCAGCATTTAATACAATGGTCCACATTATGGCCAGTGTGAAGACAGGCCACATTGAGCTGCCCCTCACCTGCTTGTAAGCAATAGAGTTTATATACATATTTTAAGCAAAAAAAAAAAAAAAGTGGTAAGCAGGAAAAAATAACAGCAATGATACAATGTCCTCTCACCTGGTCTCTTGGAGCGGATGATCTGTTTGATCATGAGGCACATGGAGTCTCTAAGCTGTTCGCTGGTCTTTGGAAGGCACCAGCCATCTCGTTCGGTACATTCAGTCTCTGCTTCATCGTTGCGCTTAAAGATCTCCTGCAAACTGCAGACAACAGCATTAATGAAGAGACAATTCATGGACAACCATGTGCATACATTACCATGTAGCGCAGGGGTATTCAATTAAAATTCAAGGAAGTCCAGTCAGTAACAACTTCTTCCAGCAGAGGTTGGAATCTCATGTTTGTCCTATGACTTAGCACAGGGCTTGAAAATTCCACTTGCCTAATGCAAGGGGAAATTCCTTTCTGGTGAGCACAGTAATGCCCTGCACATTTATTGATGGAGCGGGTGCCTTGCAATGCGATCCCCAGGCCCCAGGGATCGATTTGCATTCCACTTGCGCTCCAAGCCTCGTTTTGAAGCCGACTTCCGGTTTCCGACTTCTTCTTTGGCACCGCCATTACACTGGCAGCGCTGCAGAGGGGACAGGTGCAGGAGAGGTCCGCTCTCCTCCGCTGAGGGAGACACAAGGAGAGGCTCGCTCTCCACCGCCGTGGGGGAAACGTGAGGGAGAGACCCGCCAACAGAGCACATCCCTACACCCGCCAGCTTAAGGTAAATTACATTTTTTGTGCTGCGCTCTGGGGGCAAAATGATTTAAAAATAAAAAAAAAAAAAACCCAACACCAACAAAGTTAAAAAAAAAAAAACAACAACGCCATTTTAGTGCTGCTCTCTGGGGACTAAATATTTCAAAAAGTGAAAAAGAAAAAAAAAAAAAAAAAACAAAGCACAGCACACCTATGCACAATCAGCTACAAATTTCATTTAAAATACAAAAATATATTTTCAATAAAATTGGTAGCGGACTATGCATGCATAGGAACCCATGTGCTGAAGAAGTACTAACTACTTGTTGCCAAAAAAAGTAAAAAAGAACACATCCTTATATGGTAGTGGTGAAAATTATCAGTGCCCTCCCAGTTTTGACTGTGGTATCTTATCTGCAACCTGTTTTTTTTCCTAGAGTCGCCATTGGTCCCTCACGATTGTAATGCGTGGACAGACCCACCAAGCAAGCGGCCGTGCTCCGCCCTGCAGAGACAAGCTCCTGAAAGGCAGCCCAGCCAGCAGACACACCAAGCCACCAGAGCAGCCTTCAAGTAGACCAGCCTTCAATCAGGCCAGCCTTTAATCTGAACTGCCGCTGAGCTGAACAACTGCCGTTGAGCTGAACAACTGCCGTTGAGCTGAACAACTGCCGTTGAGCTGAACAACTGCCGTTGAGCTGAACAACTGCCGTTGAGCTGAACAACTGCCGTTGAGCTGAACTGCCTTTAATCTGAAATTTTCTTAATTAAATAGATTGCAATCCACACACAGCCATTGAAGTGGTATTTTGCATCAGAAAAAGGGTATTACACAAGTCTTGGTCCTGCTGTACAACACAAACCATGGCTGCTCTATTAGCACATCTTTGTTAAAATGTTTACTGTTGTTATGCCATGTTTTTTCTTAATGCACTACTTCTCTAAGCTCTCTTTTAATAAGATGCTGGAGATAAATAATACAAAATGTTTACGATTGTTATTTATTTTATGCAATGTTTTTTGGCCATCAAAAGAGGCACTTTTTTGTTTTTTTCTTAATGCAACACTTCTCTAAAAGTTCTCTCCTGGAGATAAAAAATACAACATGTTTACAGTAACTATTATTCCATGTTTTTTGGCATCAAAATAAGCACTTTTTCTTATGCTATACTTCTGTAAACTAAAGTATCTTTTAAAAGATGCTGGAGATAAAAAAACTACAAAATGTTTACTACAGGTTTAAAGCTGTAAAACGTGATATTTTGATTGCACCCTATTGCTATTAAGCTATTGTTGCTATGTTTAAATTGACATAATAAAGCTATGCTATAATTGCTGTTTTTTAGACTTTTTTGGACTTTTGGATTTTGGACTCTTTATTCTAAAGAAAAAATTTAATTTCATAAGCTTTAAGGGGGAGTGGTTGGGGGATTGGCCTGGGGTGGGGTTGGAGGCGGACCTGTGCAAACCGGTGGGGCAACTGGTGGATAGTAAGGTTTTTGCCTGGCTAGTAGGTCTAGACTAGAAATGTTAAGCCCTGACGTAGTATATTTTATGTCTATAAAAAAAAAATAATGTACAATTTCCATAGCATTTTAATACTATTTACTGTCAATTTTTAGTTTGCCCCCTTACATCAGGTGTACCCATCAGAGTGCCCCAAAAATCAGATGTCCTCATCAGAGTGCCCCTGTATCTTTTAGTGCCAGGCAGACAGAGGGCAGAAGCATGGAGGTGGAACACAATCCTCCTGTGATGCTGAGGGTAGGGCACATACACATGACCTAACCTTAACCATAAGGGTGTCAGCATTTTTAACAACCCATCACTGTAGAAGATAGGGGATCCACGCTTGGGACTGACTGGCTGGCAGTTTAGATAGAGCTGTCTTGTACACAAGCAAAATTCTCATCACAGCCCCTGCTTAATCTATGTCTGCACTCACTGCCATGTCTATGCAGACAATGTGCCAGGAAGCATGCAAAAGAATGAAATGTGCTGGAATTCCCAATGTCTTGTATGTATGCACATCTAAATAGATACCCAGCAGACAAAATGCCACCTGCCTTCTAGCAAACTGTTTCGCTATAATCAAATCATGTCTTTTATCACTAGCAAGCTTAAATTACTGACGGAACCCTGTACACTCACCCCTCTCTAGGTCTCCTGTGGGGCTACGGTGGCGGTGAAAGGTCGTCTATCTAATATATATGCTTTCCTTGTTGATCCAGATATTAAGCTCTCTTATATGGTGCACTGGGAAAGGGATTTACATATTTCTCTGGAGTTAGACACTTGGCAGAATACGGCTAGTGCTTTACCTAAAATCTCGATTAACACTACACTCACTCTGACTACAAAACGCTTCTTTGGTGATATTTGGTCCCTACACGTCTTGCTAAAATGTACCCTTCCGTGTCATCCATCTGTTTTTGACATTGTGAACAGGAGGGTACTATGCTTCACATATGGTGGAAATGCCCTGCGGTGACTAGGTTTTGGATCCATTTAATTTCCTTTACTCGGTAATGGGGGTTAATATTAGTCGATCCCCTGAAATAGCTCTATTTAATTTATTGCCCACTGATATTCCCAAGAAATCGGTTAAATTGATTCTTTATATCCTGTTGGCGGCGAGAGTTACGATAGCCAAACATTAGAAACAGTCAGCAATATCGCTGGACTTAGTCAAACAGAAACTTAATTGGATTAGGATTAATGATAAACTTACTAGTATACTTAATAACAATACTTCTAAATTGGAGAGCACTTGGGACCCATGGATTCAGTATATTTCTGTTATTTAACAGACTCTTGGCTGGCCCTCTCTCTTATTTCTTGTCAGGGTTTTATTCTTTACATTTCTTCCTTAGTTCTTTCCTCACTTTTCGTTCTCTCTACTTTTGTCTACTATTTTAATAATATTATTTGTACCACTCTGTTTATGGTGCAATTTGCTCATAATCGATCCAAATCTGAATGTGCTACCAGTGTATTCCTCTCATTACGCATTATTGGTCTATTTTGTTGCTGTGTTGCTACACCTTGTACTTGAATATACTGCTTCATTGCTTGATGTTCTACAACTCATCATGTTGGTGGGTTGCATTTCCTGTCTTTTTGTATAATGTTTCTAAAAATCCTTAATAAACATATTAAAATATAAATAAATACCCAGGATAATTTCCTTGACATAACTTTGTTAAAAGAGTACATTTCCTTATATATGTATCCAGAATGTATGAAGGGATCCCTGCATTTACAGAAGACTTCCTGGGTTTCTACTGGAGACACAAGTAGGCTCTGAATCTGACCTTCTGTGTATGGCCATTCCTCCTGTACAGAAAATCCCATGTGAGCAGGTCTGAACCAGAAATGAGAGTATTCAAGTTGCAGTGGGAATGCATGAAGTTATTTTCACAAATACACCATGTGTGTACAGGAGCCCCAACAAGACAATCCAGTTTTGGGACTTCTCAATCCTCTTTTAGCAACCTATTGCCATGATAAAGGGGCCCTGCAGAATCATGCAATTTTTCAGATGGTACCAACCATCCGGTCATTGTAGCACCTGTTATAGTTGTGGCTTCTGACCCAGAAATGTGCCACCAGTATATAATTCATGGCAGTGGAGATGCAGAAACACAGTTTATGATGTGGTCATGGCCTAGCCTGCATATCAGTTGTCCTTTCGTTGCAACTAAAATTAGGTAAAAAGTCTTAATTGTCTGTATTTATTGATTTCCACAGATTATCCCTTCACAATAAAATCCTACTCCAGAGTTTTTTTCTTTTACCTTCATTAAAACAAAGAAAAAAATATCAAAAGGAAATCTGTATAGGAGAGAAAAAAAAAAAAAAAAAAGAGGCAGTCACTGAAAATACTGCCTAACTGACTGTCTGTGGCTTTAATACTCACCGAGTTACTGACCTGAAACTAGCATGCTGATTAGAAAATCAGAGTGAAAGCTGAACTACTAATCTGTGTACTCGTGTAGCGTCAGTGCCTCTGATAGTACTGAAAACAATGGAACAGCATGGCAGCCTCGAAACAATCATTTTATTATAGCAGAAATTGCGATTAGCAGTTTTTTATTTCCACAGCACAGTAGTAGGGATTACCTGTCTACATGTATATCACAGAGCTGGTAAAACATTTGCCGATATGGAGGCAAGCTTCCTTCTCGGAATATGTAAACAGAGTCCTGTATGACAGACAAGAAAAGGACAGATGTGAGTGTTGCAAACATATAAAATAAGAACCTGCAAACTGCCACTTTTTTTTTTCTTTTTCTTTTTACACACAGTGTGACATTTTCAGCAGCGCTATATAAAAGGAGAGCGCTGCAACATCTTATACGATTTTTGACCTACCATTCCCGGTGGTCAATTATCTGTGGCAAGTGGGGCTCTGGAGTGGGAGCAATACACACAGAGAATTGCTATGGATAAGAAGATTTACTATTGTATCACTTAATATTCACACCGGATGCGGATGGGGGTTTCGTTGGGATTTTTTTTTGATCTTTCAATTGTTTTGGAACTTTTATATGTTTGCACATTATTGTATTGTAAATATATATATTATATGTATTTGTTTTATACATTTTCACTGTATACACAGTTTCATGGCATTGTATATGTGCTGTTTTTAGCACTATTGTCGTTTAAATACTTTGTATTTACTTATTGGTTTATTTAGGATTTAGTCACTTGGGAGGAAGGATATAATTGCCACATATAACACATGCACATTTGTGGGGACTCTGTGTAGTAGGGAGTTCATTCATTTATTTATTAATTATTTAAAGTAGTTTTTGGGAGAGGCAGCGCAGCAATTTTTATGTTTGCACTCGCACATTTGTTCATCGGTACACATTTGTGATTTTGCTAGCAGCAGCCAGTCTAATTGATCAGTCCTCTGTGCAGGACATTTTTTCATATATAAAATTTTTTTTTATATGTATCTATAAATATTATTTACATTGATAATATTTTATATATTTTTTTGATTCACAGATATATTTTAATATTTATTTACTAGCGCAAATTATATATTTTGTGTTATTTGTTACACTTTATTTATTTATGGTGGATTTTGCAGCTGGTATATCAATTAAGTGACCCATACATATATATTTTTTCTCTTTCTTTCCATAGGCGCCATTATATTTATTTACTTATATACTCACACACTATATAAAGAATGTCATTTTGACACCGGCCTCTGTCCAACCATGTAAGCTCACAATCTAATGTCCCTACCACAGTCACATAAAGTACACTAGCACATCAGTATGTTTTAGCATTATGAAAGCATCTGGAGGAATCCTACGCAAACATGTTGAACACAAACTCCAAGCACAAAGCATATTTGATATGACCCCAGGGTGCTAACCACCATTGCAATGCCACACTAATTAATTTTTTCAGAAAGACATAATTAAAAAACTCCATCATTTATGTAGTGTATGCACTGCAAAAATTACTAATGCCTAGTAATTTAATTGAAAGTAATTTTCACAGTAACTGCCCTGAAGTAATCTGTTCACAAATACCTATTCATTCGACAACATCATGAAGTTCAGCTCTTGGAATGATTCCAGATATAAAATGAGCCTTGTATATATTAATATACAGTGGGTATAGAAAAGAATCACCCACCCTTTAAAATAATCACATTTTGTTGCTTTGCAGCCTGAAATTAAGGTACAGTTTTTACTTTAAACTGAGATCAGCTGTGGTCATTTTGAGTAAATACAGCTGTATAAAACAAAAACTGTGTCTTCATTTCAGGTGGCAAAGTAACAAAATGTGATCATTTTAAAAGGTGGTGATTTTTTTCTATAACCACTGTATCTGTATAATCTCATAAAAGATAGAGAATTACCACTGTTTCATCTTAGATTAGGCAGTGATGTCAGATCAGAGATAATTGATGTGTAGCTGCCCATACAAAAACTTAGTAACGCCATGACCAATTTTTTACATTCGTATATGACATATTAGGCTTATATTTGCTGCACCCTTAGCAGATTTATTGTTGAAAGCTGACAAACAAAAATGTAAACATTTAAAAAAATTATGCTAATGATGTTTACATTTTTTTTTCAAACACTGCACTATTTTTTTTTTAAATGTTTTCTTGACAGACCAAAAGAAATAAACACACAGCTTCAGCCTTTAAGCTTTCTTTTGTTTTTTTTTATTACCAAAGAGCATGATATAACTGGCATGACGATCATATGATCAGAAACAGGCTGATTGGTTCCTGATTGCTAATGGAGACATTGTGGTGTGGACCCTTACCTCGACGTGCATCATGCAGAGAGCATTCATTTACAGATTACTGGTGTGATCCTGTTAAGTGCTATAGAAAATCCGGTACTGTTCATGACATGTCATTGAGATCCCTGATTGGACTGTTGCTAAACTGCTAACCACGAATCATCATCAAATAGGTACATTTCAATAATAATTATTTACATGTGTGTAACTTGCATAAATCTCATACCAGTGGATTTGGTATATTCTACCTATATGCTCTTAAATGAGCCAAACACTAGAAAATTGTCACTTACCTTTAGTTTATACTTGTTGGATGGAATCTTTTTACTCCCTAGGATGCTGGAAGCTGCCAGTCCTTGGGTCAGGTCCTGCACGCTAATTGCCTGTGGTACTGTATGAGCCAAGAAAAAGAGGTTTAACCACTTGCCTACAGGGCACTTATACTCCCTTCCTGCCAGGCCAGATTTCAGCGCTGTCACACTCTGAATGGCAATTGTGCGGTCATGCAACACTGTACCCATACAAAATTTGTATCATTTTTTTGAGACATATAAAGCTTTCTTTTGGTGGTATTTAATCACTTCTAGGTTTTTTATTTTTTGCTAAAGAAACCAAAAACAACTGAAAATTTTGAAAAGAAAATCCGTTTTGTCTTAGTTTTTGTTATAAACTTTTGTAAATAAGTGATTTTTCTCCTTCACTGATGTGCGCTAATGAGGCTGCAGTGATGGGGACTGATAAGCTGCACTGATAGATGGCACTGATTAGGAGGCACTAGTAGGTGGCACTGATGGGCATTGACAGGCATCACTGATGGGCACTGAAAGGCAGCACTCATATGGCACTGACTGCCACTGATAGGTGGCACTGACTGCCACTGATAGGCGGCACTGAAAGGCAGCTCAGATGGGCACTGATATGTGGCATTGATGTGCACTGGTAGGCACTGATATGTGGCATTGATGAGGCACTGATGGGCACTGGCAGCTGGCATTGATGGGCACTGACAGCTGGCACTGCTGGGGCTACACTGATCATCAGGGCACACTGATCATCAGTACCCTGATGATCAGTGTACATGTCCCCCCCCCGAGGAATGCCGATTACCGGCTCTCCTCTCCTCTCGAGCTGTCAGCGTGACAGCTCGTGAGGAGAGAAATGCAGATAACCGGAATTTCCCTATTTACATGTGATAAGCTGTGATTGGACACAGCTGATCACATGACCGAGCCGACATCTGTGGCTCTTTCCGTTGATCGGTGATTCGCGCTGTCAGATGGCCGCGCACGTTTGGTTAGAGTGGGAGGACGTCATATGACATCCTCCCAGAACGAGAGAACCACCTTGCGCCCGTCATTACCTTATATGGCGGGCGGGAGGCGGTTAATAAATATTTTGTATGTGTGTCACCTACAGTTACCTACCTACTTCTTACCTCTGTGCTTGTCAATAAGGGGTTTTCCACCAAGTACTAAGTCATGTTTTGCTTGGGGATGAAATACTTATTTTACTCACTGAACTGAAACTCAATTTATAACATTTGTATCATGTGTTTTTTCTGTATTTGTGGTTGATATTCTCTGTCATTTAAAATTCACCTATGATAAAAATTATAGACCCTTCATTTCCTTGTAAGTGGTCAAATATACAAAATCTGCAGGGGATTAAATAATTATTTTCACCACTCTACATAAGCCAATCAAATGCTTTCTCGTTCAGTATGCAGCCCATGCTAGAAAAAGGAAAGCTCAATCCAGGGGATACTGGAACCAGAGACATGCTACCTTACTGCAGTTTTTATAAATCAAAGTCACTTGATCAGTGACAAGGTGGGATCTGTGCCACCAACACAAAAGATAGGTTTAGATACATGTTAAATACTGCCCGAAGAGCTAGCATCAAATTATCATGCTGCATTTTGCAAGATGTCTGTACACTTTCCTTTTACTGCTTCTGTCTTCTAGCAGGCAGCATTTGCGGTCAATGAAGGCTCCATATTTTGTCAGTAGATTTACAGACTCTGAACAGCTGGTGTGTACCAGTTACCTTGTAGCAGAGCTCTGTAGCAGCTATAAATTTCTCATTTTGTTTTTTTTCTCTGACGATTTGTAGCTGGCTACAAAGTCATTACTGTAGCTGGCTATAATACCCATTGAACAGCTTCAAAACAATGGTGTGCCATGGTCATCAACACAATCACTTGATAACAGAAGTGAGCGCAGAAGCTAGAGATACAAATCAATTGATTAGTGGCAGAGTTACTAGTCACAATTACCTTTCCATGACCATAATTAAATCTTTATAGTAACCATGGTAAGAAGAATAATTATGCAGTTGCTGCAAATCACTTGTGCAACATAGCTCTAAGCCAGAGTTACCTAAAATATGGATCAGGACACATTTGTGATGGGTCAGCACATGACTGTGTAGTACCCGTAGTCTAGTCTGCCCTATTAGCAGCAAGTGGTATAGCACACTTTAGGAGTACTTAGGTTTCCAATTGTATATACTATAAAGAAACCTATTAACAGTGAGGTAAATGTATTACAGAAAGTGTTCACTTCTATTAGGATGAAAACATAACAAATACGCCTGTCCATGAAACCACCACCTCTCTCAAAACCCGAAAAAAAATTACACTAATATAACTGACAGCACAGATACATATAGGGCAGGCTTTCTCAACCAGGGTGCCCAGGCACCCTGGGGTGCCTTGAGGTTTCTTCAGGGGTGCCTTGGCAAAATGTCTAAAAATTGCCCAAAACTTGTATACAAGCCAGAGGGTGGAACAAGCCTGCCTTTTAGTTACACAAAGCCACAGGTTTTCATTGTGCACCATTACAACTTTCCAGCCGCTGGTCTCCTGACAAAATTAATGACATCACCAGCTGATAAGGAGGGCGTCAGTTGTTTGCACAGCATCCTAGTTTGACTCTCCCTTAACCCTCTCCATCAGTGCTGGAGTCATATTAGCTCAGTGATGGAGAAAAACTGAGAGAGAAGAGAAACATTGGAATACTAGTCAGTACCAGTGTGCAGAAGTGTATTTGCTTTGGAAGAATAAATCACCTTTAATATTGAGTGTCCTACATGTGTGGATGTTGCTGCGTTATATAAAACTATTAGAATAGTTTTTTTCACATTTTAGAATGGGGTGCCTCAAGACTATCCATACTTTTAAAGGGTGCCTTGACTGAAAAAAAGGTTGAGAAACACTGGTATAGGGGACTAGAGTGCATGCAAGGTGCTGCTCAGAGGGAGATTTATAGACAAGAGAACCCTGCTCTCCTTGAAAATATTTATCTGGTTCACTAAAGCTTACAGAAATAGTGAAGAGTACCTGCAATGTATGACGCTGTCATTGTTATTTGTCTTAGCTGGAATTTTTGTAATATTTTTTTTTCTATTTTTGGGTCCCAGTACAGCAACAATTTTCTTATTTGAGCCCTTGAATTAAGAGGTTTAGGAACCCCAATGCAAGCAATACAAATGAACACATAAAACCAAGAAGAAAAAGGTAGTTATGATTGAAGTCAGGCCAATCTAGACTAATTAGATAAAATAATAAGAAGGCTCACCTGGCTTCTTCAAAGTGATAGGCAGGCTGTAGTTGTATGTGCTACGTTTGGCTTTTACAGGCATCTCATTTGGGGCGTACCCTGCACAAAACACAAAGACACTTGGTCATGTGACCTTTTGTACTGTATTCAGAGGCATGCTTCAGGGTGGAACTATACTTTGTCATTCTGTACTTCCATCATCAAAAACCCTGACTTTTGGACTCATTCTGCCCATTTCCTGTGAGCCCAGCTCATTTACATACCCCATCTAGGAGGCACATCATTATGAGACTAGGCTTACTGTATTCCAGGACAGAGTGGCGCTTACATGTCATTACATGAGTGCCACTCAGTGCTAGAAGAATGCCCACCCCCTCTAGAACACGCAGTGGAAGATGCATTGGCCTGGTAAAAAGATATCAAGAAAAAAGGTATAAAAAAAATATAAAAAAGGGGATGTGGGAGTTTTTTACTGCACAAAATCTAACAACTGCTTGAATGGTCATGTTCTGTCTCACCTCTCTCCTGTACCACAGCTTTCCTAAAAAGATCTACTGGTGACCAATAAGGAGGACTGGGGAAGGCACATAGCATTAACATGTAAGCCCTGGCTTTGTTTGGCATAAAACGGTGCCTTAGGTTTGGAGACAGAATTAAAAGAGGTAAACAGGTACCTGTTGCCTGATCCACAGATTGTGGGAGAGGAGAAGCTAATCAGGCGAGTAGAGCTGAAATGTTAACTTTATGCATATAGTGTGAAAATGCGTGGTACCTTAACAGCTAACTGTAGTAAAGAATGCAAAAATAGTTATAATAGCAGGGACCCTCTGTAGGACAGAAATGTGTATTTCCTTTCCTGAGAATTTATGATGAAGTGGATATTCTACATCAACAACTTTACAAGTACTACATTTACAGTACCAGAGCATTATGGGAACGAATGTCATAGTAGCAATGTCCTCCTGCTATGGTGGTGATGTACAGAAGGCAGGGCATACATGCCCACTGTAAGTCTGTGCTCCCCCAATGATTAGTAGAAATGATAGCCTTTATTAATGAATGTGAGTAATTAGGCCACGTAGGTGCTTTATATGTACAGTATATTGACCATCTATTCTTCATGTGTACACAGTACTGCTGGACGACTTCATTTGTATTAACCACTTCCAGACCGGACACTTTTACCCCCTTCCTGACCAGGGCAATTTTCAGCTTTCAGCGCCATCACACTTTGAATGACAATTGCGCGGTCATGCAACACTGTACCCAAATGAATTTTTTACCATGTTTTTGAGACAGATAAAGCGTTATTTTGGTGGTATTTATTCACCGCTGGGTTTTTTTTTTTATTTTTTTTGCTATGTAAATGAAAAAGTCCAAAAAATTTTTAAAAAGTGTTTTTTTTTTTTTATAACATTTTGCAAATAAATAATATTTCATCATAAATCTTTGCCAAAATTTATTCCGTTATCTTTTTAGTAAAAAAAAAAAAATCCAAATTAGTTTACAACCAAAAATTATAATTTTTAAACTTTTTTTTTATATTTTTTATTTTATTTTTTTATATTATTTTTATTTTTTTTTTTACATACTGTCACCCTAGCAGTACAGTGTCACCATGGTGACACTGTACTACTTGTGGGGGGTGATGAAGATTTTTTTTTTTTTTTTTTTTTTTTTTACACGGATTGCTTTTACACCCATATAGGATGTAAAAGCAATCATTTCTCTTTCTCTGTGTGCATTCTTGTACTCATTGAGAAGTACTGAGTGAGCTGTGATTAGTCACAGCTTGTCACATGGTACAAGGCTGTTGTGAATAGCCTTACCATGTGACCTCTGTGATTATTCACAGATTTCACACGTAGTAAGCAATGATGTCACAAGTGACATCTTGCTTACTACTTTGCATGTGATCACTGATTGGCCAATCAGTGATCACATGATCGGGACCTCGTACAGAGGTCCCGTCCGATGATCGGTGTTTCACTGTGTCCGGAGGACACAGCGGGCACCGGATCGTGGTGCTGCGCGCTCCAAGGGAGCGCGCACAAGCAGGGTGCGGCCACCCGACCCTGCACTGCCACCGTCCGGCCGTTTATATGCAACAGCCAGTCGGGAAGTGGTTAACAACAACCACTGGGGAGAAAATAGCCTTTTGATTACAAGGCCTCTCCTACCCACCCATCAGATACAATTACCATATTTCATTCCGCAGCGTATCCGGAAATCAAGCACTTGGTACATTTTAGCTTCTGGGTTTTTCCGGGGGTCATAGCCAAAGCGCACCCACAGACTTCTCCAAGGGCCTGTCAACTGAGGACAAAATTCAGAAAGTGAGCAAACAACATACAGGAATTAAAAAATATTTAACCATGCTCCAGCAGTACTGCAAAACACAAATACTAAGCACCATGCAAGGACAAACCAGCTGATGTCTCCCTTTGGCACACACCGTACTGCACTGGCTTCGACACAATAGGGAAAAAAGGGTGGCTTATGCAGGCCATAGACGGGTCTTTTATTGGCCGAATTTACGTCCGCACGAAAATTCGGCCGATATTCACGCCGTTAGTGGGGCCAGCCCGTCGGCTGTTTTTCGCGGATCTTCTCGTTTATTTTTATTGGTCATGCTGGAAAATCCACGAAAAAATGTCAGTTTTTCGTGGACATTGGTGGCAGCATCGGCAATGGGGCCGACCAATTTTTCGTTTATTGGCCGACAATTCGGCCAATAAACGACCCGTCTATGGCCTGCATTAGCTAGAAGCTGTGGGGATTTTCATCAGCAAAAACACAAAAGGCACCTGTTGCAGAAAGCAAACCGATGATGCCCACTGTTTCCATTATGCGACCTTTCCCTATTCCTGACCGTGTTGGATCCTTATCTCCAATGTAACATTCTTTCCTATATTACTCATAGGCTTCATCAATGAGGGAGATTACAAAACCTTTTTTAAGAAACTTCTTCCTGAGTATCATGCTCTATACATCATAATCCTCGACCTGCATCCACACCATGCCTTTGTCACTCTGTGCAGTGGAGAGTATTACTGTATGGGTTTGAGAGTTTGCAGGTCCTAGAAGGTATCAGTTACATTTATACATTTATGCTTGTGTATACACATGGATCGACAGTGGAATACTGATTTCTACCTTACATTTACCATGTGCAGAGATGAAAGACTTTGTCATATAGTGAACTCAGTGTAGAGCTATTCACCCTGAGGTCATCACAGAGGACAAGGGGGCACTCTTTACGTCTGGAGGAAAAGACATTTAATATCCAAATACGGAAAGGTTTCTTCACAGTAAGAGCTGTGAAAATGTGGAATAGACTCCCTCAAGAGTTGGTTCTGGCCAGCTCAGTGGATTGCTTTAAAAAAGGCCTGGATTCTTTCTTAGATACACAGAATATAACTGGATACTAACATTTATAGGTAAATTTGATCCAGGGAATATCCTATTGCCTCTTGGGGGATCAGGAAGGAATTTTTTTCCCCTGCAGGAGCAAATTGGATCATGCTTTGCTGGGTTTTTTTGCCTTCCTCTGGATCAACCTTTTTTTTTTTTTTATGGGTGAACTAGATGGACTTTTGTCTTTTTTCAGCCAGACTATGTAATTATTTATGGCATTTTGCCTTTGGATCATGGGAACTAGGTATTTTCCGGTCATGATATAGAGGATTGTACCTTTGCTTATGAAGGGTGTAAAGCTGTATATTGTTAGGCCCAGCCTACTGGCTCGTTAGGTGGGAGGAGGACTGACTTTGATCCATGACTATTTAAACAGTGACATGGCATGAGCTTGGCTCAGCTCTGAAGAAGGGGACTATTCCCCTGAAACTAGCTTTCAAGCACTTGGTCCAAGGACGGGTCACACCACCTATCCACCTATGGCTGAAGTATCTAAAGTAACATGCCTGCTGTTTTTTTTTTCCAAATTATTTATACAAAAGTATCCAACAAAGCGGTGCTTGATAAAACAGCAGTAATGTCTCTTGACAGGTCAAGTGTCATACAATAGGGAAACACACAGATAATGTACACAACAGGGTGCAGAGATACCAAATGAGTGTCATATACTGAATGAAAGTAAGAAAGGTGTTCTTGGATATGGGGAGGTCCAACTAATGGAAATATCAAACTTAAAGTTGGGGAAAAAAACCCTGAGAATCCTCTATAAGGCACAGCGGTTGTTGGAAAAAATGCTGAGGTAGTAAGCAGAGACGTTTCCAAATTCCAGTACTGTCAGTTACCAGTCATAGTATTGTAAGCTCGAAAGAGCAGGGCCCTCGAACCCCTCGTGTATCACATTGTATTGGTATTGTTCTGTCACATGTTCTGTCCCCCTTTGTAATGTACAGCGCTGAGCGAACCATTGGCGCTTTATAAATACTGTATAATAATAATAATAATAATAATAGTACATGCTCAGTTGCACACCTGATTTTCTAAATGCCTGCTGTTTTTAATCGTGTGCGAGTATCCATTATTCTTTGGGGATTTAATAAATAGTTTGGTGGTAATGCACACGAGGCGTTTGGGCCCTCTTGTGTGTGTTTTTACAGATGACTGAAGATTTCCAAATCTGTGGAGGGCTGTACCGGAGGAAGCATTACGAACCAAAGCACGTGTTTTTAACAATTGATTTGTATTTGTACTAAGACACAAAAAGAATGGCAGACCTAGAAGCAGTACTAAAGCAGAAGCCATGTACCAAAATAAAATCAATACCATTTACTGTACTGTACAGTAACGGACAATCACTGTGATACATTAGCAGGATGGAACTTGCAACTCTGAGCATGGAACATAGAAATGCGCTGGTACAGAAACCAAACATCAGGAGTTTGCCGAAATACAGAATGATAAGAAAAACTCCCAAGTGGTATAATTATAAGCTGTGAATGTGACACCAAATATCCACTGCATGTGAACCTTCCTTGCGTACATTTTTTAAATTACAAGAAATGATGAGCCACCAGTGAAAGTTTTGTGAATGTTACCATCACTGCTTTATAAAATTGCCCCTAAAACAAGGGTTAAACTTGGGAACAAAGGTCATGGTGAAATATGAAACTGAGGGTAGCCACGCAGGTGTTGAGGTTTCAAAACTGGCACCACAAACCTTCTTGGATCACATTCCCTTCAAGACCAGCTGTGAACTTCTCTCTGCTTTGACAGATAGGAAAATTATGCACATGCAGGAAACATACCCACCCCATTTGGGAATGATTAGTGCCTAACTACACAAAGGTTCTCCAATAAACTGGAAGCACTTTTTTACCACCCATATGGAAAACCTTGCGTGTCTCATTTCTTGAAAATGACCAATTGGGGTTAATTATTGGTGAAGACAAGGGAATCTATGACTTCTAACTTTTTTTTTCTATGCTTTTACCCTGTTCCATATTTTATTTTGTTTATTTTTACTTTGTTCCGAATGAATGTACTTATTCTGATTTGTTAAAAATATTTTATGACCCAGCACAAGTACTGAATCCAGAGTAAGTCAAGCAACTAGCGTCTTAGAAGATGGTCACTAATGGCATGCAACACATTTCCTTCATAACAGGTTAATTAGGTTATGTCTGGAAAAGTACTAAACTTTAAGCTTTACCATTTTATGTATATTATAACCAAAATTAACAAACAGACTACATAGTAGCACAGTGATTTTTTGCTGACCTTTATTACTTAATTCTTATATTTATTTTATGCCTCAATAGTATGTGAAACCTAGGCACTCATGACCCTACCAATGCACACACTAGGGACGATTTCGGAGGAAGCAATTAACCACTTGCCCTCCTGAGGATTTACCCCCCTTAATGACCAGGCCTCTTTTTGCTACTCGGCGCTGCACTAATTCAACTGATAATTGCTCGGTCATGCAATGCTGCACCCAAACAAAATTTATGTCTTTTTCACACAAATAGAGCTTTCGGTAGTATTTGATCACCTGTGCGCTTTTTATTTTTCACGCTATAAACAAAAAAAGACCAGAAATTTGGAAGAAAAACTATATTTTTTACTTTCAGCTATAAAAAATATATAGTAAACTCAAAGTTGGTTATAAATTTAGGCCAATATGTATTCTGCTCCATGTTTTTGATAAAAAAAATCCCAATAAGTGTATATTGATTGCTTTGTGTGAAAGTGATAGCGTCTACAAACTATGGTATAGATACTGAAATTTACGCCATTTTTTTGTGCTAGTTTAACGGACAATTGCGCAGTCATGCAATACGGTACATAAATAAAATGTATGTCCTTTTTTTCACACAAATAGAGCTTTCTTTCAGTGGTATTTGATCGCCTGTGCGTTTTTTATTTTTTGCGCTATAAAAAAAAAAACAAAAATGGCTGACAATTTTGAAAAAAAAAAAAAACAATATTTTGGACTTTTTGCTATAAAACATGTCCAGTAAAAAATTTTTTAAAATCAAATTTCGGCATAAATTTCGGCCAAAATGCATTCTGCGAAAAGTCTTTCCTAAAAAAAAAAAACCCAATACGTGTAAATTAATTGGTTTACGTGAAAGTTATAGCATTTACAAATGGCGGGAAAGATACTGGGATTTTTTATTTTTTTTTATACTAATGGCGGTGATCAGTGACTTATGGCGCCGATCAGCGACTTATGGCGGGACTGCGGCAGACATTCTGACACTGGGGGGGGGGGGGGAACTGACTTGGGGTAACTGACATCCCCAGTGACACCAATACAGTGATCAGTGCAAAAAAAAAAAAAAAAAAAAAAACACTGACACTATACTAATGGTACTGGGGAGGAAGGGGTGTGTACTGCACGGGGACACACTGATCAGGAGAGATAAACTCTTCTCTCCTGCTCAGCATGTCAGGAGCTGACAGGGAACTGACAGAAAGCAGAGCTACTGCAGCCCTGCTCTCTGTCAGTGATTGCCGCTAATCGGTGGGACACAGCCGCCCCCTACCTGTTTTGCAAACACATGTTTTAAAACGTGGTTTTGCCCAGCCGTGCCACCCTGCCGCCGTATTTCTACAGTAGCTCGGCGGCATGTGGTTAAACTTGCAGTAAGTTTTGGGAATGTGAAAGGAAACTGAAGCACTTGGAGGAAACCCACAGAAACACAGGAAGAATATGCAATCTCCACAGAGATAGAGTCCCGGGTGATATTTGTAGCCCTGGACTCAAGGCAAGGTAGAAATGCTAACGGAATAATTGCCATGAACAGAAAATGCATACATTCTGGTACTCACCATATAATATGCCATATATGGTAAAAGTAACTTCAGCTTGTCGGGGTGAACGCTGACATTGGCCTTAATTGCGTTTCGGGACCATATTGGACGGATGCTGAAAAGCTGAAAAATACATTGTTTAAGTTCTCAAACCATGTAAACATAGCAGTAACGTCTTAACCTGCTCATCAGCTATTTCAATTATGCTCCTTTTTTCCATAAAACGTGCGGCTCAAGCAGACCAAGCAACATTGGTACCAATATGCATGTTTTTGACTTTTTTCCCCCCAAAAGGCCAGCAGCTAAGCCATCCTCTCCACCTCAAAGGCAGGCCATACATGTTTAGACGACTCTTTAAGCCCTGGGGGTTGACTGAGAGAAGCAAATTCATTCCCCCATTCATTCTAAACAGCTTGAATGGAAGAATCCTCACTGCCGATTTCTGTCTGAATACCCAGTGACTGAAGCTGATAGGATGAATTCACCGTTCAGCCAACAATTTTTATCCCGCTGTCTTCAAATTGTGAAATCAACTTGTGTTGAGTAAAGTGCTGACGACAGGGTCTCCCATGACTAAACATTCTGGTCGATTCTGAAGGAATCAGCTAAAATTAAAGTCTTGTATGACCAGCATAACAACTTTCCTTCCAGTATGGCCAGCAAATCACTTCCCCTGTCTATTGATATATGCAGAAATACCTGTCACAGAATGGCAGAGGTGTCTGACATGTAGGCTGTGATTAACAGATTGACTTTCTCTATGCTGAAACAAGATGGCAGCACACAGTTGGAGGATAACTAAGTCTAAGGCGATAGACTACAGAAACATTTTTCACCAATTATACTGTAGGTCTATTATGAATTATTCACAACACATATTTTATAGCTGCAAATGGCTTCTGTAAACATTGGAAAAGGAAAGGACTGCTATAACATGACAATTTTACAACTACAGAGGAGGCAGCCTGGAAGCAAGAAAGCAACCACAAAAGTATCATGGCCACAAAGTCATGGTTGGCTGGTGTGTGTGTTATATATTACATATATAATATATATATATACACACACACAAAGTTGTGCTCAAAAGTTTACATACCCTGGCAGAAATTGTGAAATTTTGGCATCAATATTGAAAATATGACTGATCATGCCAAAAAATGCTCTTTTATTGAAGGATGATGATCATATGAAGCCATTTATTATCAAATAGTTGTTGGCTCCTTTTTAAATCATAATAACAGAAATCACCCAAATGGCCATAATCAAAAGTTTCCCTCCCCTGGAATGTTTGCCCTTGGTACAGACACACAAGGTGACACACACAGGTTAAAATGCCAATTAGAGGTTAATGTCCCACATCTGTGGCTTTTTAAATTGCAATTAGTGTCAGTGTATAAATAGTCAATGAGTTTGTTAGCTCTTACGTAGAAGAACTGACTAGGCTAGATACTGAGCCATGGGGATCAGGAAAGAACTGTCAAAAGTCCTGCATAACAAGGTAATGGAACTTTATAAAGATATCTGGACCCTAAAGAGGATGCACAGGCAGTCCAACTCCTCCAGGATGGCACATGGATACGTGCCATTGCCAGAAGTCTCAAGAGCATAGAGAAGATTCTAGGAGACATTAAGTTACTCTAGAAGAGCTGGACAGGCCTGTAGAAGGTCCTTAACCCTTCAGCAGGACTGGCTTCTGCTCCTTTGTGCAAGGAGGAACAGAACGTGCACTGCCAGAGCCCTACAAAATTACCTCCAGCAGGCCACTGGTGTGAATGTCTCTGACCAAACAATCAGAAACAGACTACATGAGGGTGGTCTGAAGGTGGCTAGTAGGTCCTGAGTTCTTCCTGGTGCACGACAATGCCTGCCCTCATGTGGCGAGAGTATGCACGCAGTTCCTGGAAGATGAAGAACTCCAATAGAAGACCTCTGGGATATCATGTTTCGGTCCATCTGACGCCGCCAGATTGCACCTCAGACTGTCCTGGTCTAGATTTAGGAGGAAATATCCCAGGACACCATCCATCATCTCATTAGGAGCATGCCCCGACGTTGTCAGGCATGCATACAAGCATGCGAGGGCCATACAAACTACTGAGTACCATTTTGAGTTGCTGCAATGAAATGTCTACAAAATTTTTGGTGTGTCTTTGAATACAGTGCTCTGTAGGTTGATAATTTTCATTTCCATCAAACAAGTTCCTAACACATTACACAGTCCATATCAGTATAGATACCTAGCATTATATTTTTCCCCATTGAGATCTGATGTGTTTTCAAAGTGAGTGTTCCTTTAATTTATTTTGAGCAGTGTGTATGTATGTATATATATATATATTTGAAAAAAAAACACAGAAAACTATAATCTATATAAGTGTACTGATGGCACACACACACACCTTGAGAAAGATGGACTTTGTGGAAATGTCAACAATAATAAAAAAAATTGTTGTTACACACACACACACACACACAACACACACACACACACACACACACACACACAAAGTGAATGTGACCAGTAATCAATGATGGATTTCTGAACAGTCAGTGACTTGTAAGGAACACTGGAAGTACTCTTACCCTTATCATTTCCTGCTCCACATGACTGTCTATGGGGTTAGTACACAGCTTCTTCCAGTTTTTCAAGGCGGCTGGATGTGGCTCTGCAGGAATTTCCGGATCTTCGAAATTGACAAATATGGCATTGTGAGGCCTACGAGCCCTACTAAGGCCGATCAGATTTTCACTGGATAAATTTGGGGGCTGATAGCCATCCCTGAGAATGCAAGTAAAGACAAATCAGGTAATAGTTATGGCTAGTGCAGGGATGCAGGAAACTCGCTTGGTTGCCCCATCAGCACAGTCAGTGTTGATGAGGGAAGCCCTCCATCAGTGCTATTGTGTTCTACTGGCAGGGAACCTTCCTGGCGGCCAGAACACAATGATTACTTCTACCGACCATAGCCGCTGGCAGTAATTGCATGTGAAGAATCCGACAGTATGGTTGTACCCAAGTTGATCCAACGGATCGACTTAGGTACAACCAGCCTGCTCATCAAAAGATTGAATCTTGGCTAGCCCCATCTGAAACAAACAAAATTCGATCTATCTATGCTTTACACATGAACTCCACCAAGAGTGATTTTCATATCAGTAATTCACATCATCAAAGACATGTTAGGCATTTATGACAACCTATTGGGCTTCTCTGCTCTCTTGGACAGGATTGCCCCCTGAAACAGGTAACACCAAGAAAAAGTCCTTTTCTCCACAAAGAAATTTCTCCAACAAATACACCATAGAAGTAGCCTCTGGAACTTCTTGGAACTTTTGACAGGGAAGTACAGACACTTGGGATGATTTACAAAGACTGGCACACACCGAAAAGTGTGCCAATTTCTACAAGATGGCTTAATTAGTGCTTTCTCTGAGAAATTACTAAAAGTGGTGCCAAATTGTCACATGGCAGATATAATGTGCACTTACACTGCCATGCACCAAAATTTGGTAATTTACTCGGACCATCCCAACTGGAAAATGGATGTAAACAATTATATTTAGAGTTTGTATCAGCATCTTTACACCAACCTACAGTATACACAAATAAATCACATGGTTTCCAACCCCTGTCATCAAGTACCCCCCACAGGTCATGTTTTCAGGATTCCCTTTACCTTGCACATGTTTTAAATCAATGTACATAGCTTGTATTTATGACAGCTATGTTATTATTATTAAACTGTTAATAGTTTACATAACAGGAGACTGTACAACTTACATTACAAGAGGGATAGGAGTGGGAGCTTACAATCTAATGGAAATTATCAAAATATTGCCTTTTGGGGGTACTTGATGAACAAGGATGGAAAAGACTGATATAGGAGTAGTAAAGCCAGAGCCTAAATGTCAGTATTATCCTCAGATCCAGGATCCCTCTATTTTCTTCCTGGTGAGGTGATCATATAATTTCCTCACAATGCACCAACACATTTTGTACCATGAGTAGAGTATATGACGCATGAGGACACAATTATTGGAAATGGTACAAAGTAATTGATAAGGGTAATGCTTCTGCCATAGTGGCATGTGATGGTGGGAAAACCTCAGCTGCACTGACAGTTTTATCCTATAAGTAGTAAAACAAATATGGCCACCCTCCAAATGGTGCATGGACACGCAACGTTTTCCTACTGCCTCACCTTGACTGATTCATGAAGGTCAGAACCCACAACTGAAGTTTCCATGATCACATATAAGTTCAATCAAGTCTGTTAATTAAATAAACTGGTTGTGGTGAGAAGTGGAACTCCAGCCAAAACCTCTCCTAGCTTTGGACAAAGTGGGGAAGGACTGGAACCTCCACCACATTCTTCTTGCAGTCATTTTGTTCCCATTTATTGTTCTTGTGGCTGCTCAGAGGTAAGGTGTAATCTACACAGTAGGGATGAAGACAGAAACCAAAAACGTGAAAGAACTCGCTCTAGCCAAAACAGGAAGAGTTTTGCCTGGTGTTCCACGTTAAAATAAACCTAAACTGTAAAATGAAAGCATGTTTAATTGAAGCTGAGCGCCAGCCTTCCCTTCAGTTTTGTACAGTTATACAGGCATCTCTCCTGTACTGGAATTGCTTACTTTGATTTCACTGCACACACATTTTTTTCACAGTGTGCAATGGAAGCTGAAGCAAACCAGACAGACCTCATTTAATGGCTGGAGGAGGTTTAGGATCATCTAGTTCTTTACTCCCTAGCCTCACTGTCCTAGATTTCAGTTATTTCAAACATGGAGGCTCAGCATCATATGTGGGCATTACCTGGGGCAGTCTACACTTTCAGACAGCAACCCATCAAGGCATTTTGATATTACATAACTCCTCCCAAAAGCCAGCTCACTGCTTGCATCAGGGCTGAAGACTCTTCAGAATTGAGAATTTTTTTCAGCCGGAGATCGGCTTTTTACTGTTAAAGTGATAAAGTGGATATACAGCTGTCCTGTCACTTTAACAGTGCTTGAAAGCGGGCCTCCTTCCCCCTCCATTCCCGGGCTCTCTTGTTCCAAAAGTAAGCCCAGGACCGCTGTGAGCGTTTGTATCAGCTGCGCACAGAGATGTAGAATAGCCATTCTTCCCCCTCATCTGTGAGGAATGAAGCCGGAAGCAACAAGCATTTTGTCACTTTTGGTTTAAGCGACGTGTTCAGCCAGGAAAACAACTGATCAAACAGATTTCTGTATGAGGTCACAAAAGGAATCAGGGGTCTGATAGACCCCTGAGCTCTGCATAAAGAGTACATGTCACTGCCCAGAGCTATCACAAGGGGTGTTGTTCATCCCTTGTGATAGCAATGAAATTAAACAAAAAAAAAAGCGTGAAAAAAAATAAAAAAACAAAATGTAAATGCACTCCTATACCCGCATGCAAATGCAAACGCGCACACAGGTCCAGCATGCATATATAAACAGTGATTGTACCACACAAGTGACATATGGCTTTGAATATCAGAGTGAGAGCAATAATTCCAGTACCAGAGATCACATTCAGCTCTAAACTGACAGCCTGTAAAAGCTTTGAAATTGCTGCCTCTGGACAATTTTAGGTACCATAGTTTACTGCCATTTCACAGGAGTGCACAGTTTTAAATCTTGAATCGTTTGGTATATATTTAAAATTTGCGTTTGATAAATGATTTTATTCTTCAGGGCCTCTGCTTTCAGAAAATATATAATGTTTTGGGGTTCTCACCAATTTTCTTACAAAACATGCAGATTTTAAAATGTATGTGAAAACAAACTGCCCTGATAGGCACGTGGTTAAAGAATAAGTTCACCTTTTGATCAAAAATAATAAAATGCACTTTTTGTGCAGGTAAAAAAATATGCGTTTATTATTTTTTGTTGAAGGAGCCTATAAAGCATTGCACCAATGATCAGATCTCTGGAGCCATGCAGGTCTCCTGCAGACCTGTGAGTATATCTACTTGCCCATATGGGATGTGCAAGCAAGCAGATACACTGGCATGAAGATTCAATGAACTACCAGAGTGCTCCATAGTGCCATTGTAGTTCATTGAGAACTACAAGCTGAAATGCGCTAAGGCTCTCGGGACTTGCGGTTCATTCATTCACAGAACACTGCAAATGAATGACAACTGTGTGGACGGAGCCCTACATGGCCACGCGGTTTTTTTAAAAAGTGACAGCTAGTAGGGGGAACTTTTCCCCTTACTTCTGTCATGGGGCAGCAGCATTGGGAACATGTTCCCAAAGGTGAATTTATCCTTTACAAAACTACCTCTCATTAGGTGAGAAAGCTCACAATCACCTAGTTGGCAACTTTGACATTTAAAGAATACCAAAGATGATTTCTTTAAAATAATTGTGGAACATTTTTTTCTGCTTTTAGCACACTTTCTCCTGTGCATGCTTTCAGATACTTCACAGAAGGCATGTGTTGCATACAAATAGTTTTAGTCTAGGTTCATTGTAGTACAGGTTCAGCATGATCCTATTTTCAGATTTTTGTAGAGCAACATTGCACATCTTTTATGCGTTTTTTTACACACTTCATGCATTTTTGTAGAGGAAGGAGCCTGCTCAATTCACTCAGCAGTGGTATTTCTACTACTGCTAATGTGAAAGATTCAGTTGTTGCTAAGGAGCTGGCACCACCTGTTGGCATCCTAACAACCAGGAACTCATCACTGCCCATTCAACGGTCAGCCGTGGATTACCTCATATACTTCCCCCCTCCCCCCAGTGATTGAGAAGGGAATACATAGTATACCTATTCATTCACACAAAAAAAAAAAATCATGTAAAAATAAAAACCACATCGTTTTTTCACAAGTCTTATTTAAAAAATTAAATAAATAAATGTACCCTGATGTGCATTCACTATCAATCATGTCCATCGGTGCAGGTCCATGTCAGTTACGATGAAAGATGGCCGCCAAACCACATGAAAGAAAAAAACCCACTGCACGCTGAAAGCTGGTCCATTCCATCTCTGAAATAAACTACGGAGTGGTGTCACCCGGTGACCTCATTGACCAGATATGTGGTTTATATGCATTTCCATTTAAGTCTATGAAGCTGTATTAGCACCAAATGTAGCACCTGTACCTTTTACAAAAACGTGTTGCAGCTGCACTGCATTGTGAACAGGCATCATTGAAAAAAATAAACCCTACCTGTGGTTGATATTTGGTCTGTAGTAATAATCCACTGGGTTGTCTAATCGAGAGAAAATAGGAGGAGGGATATATAAGGGCAGGTCCTGATGGAAGAACTCCTCTTTCTCAGGTTTTGTTAGCAGGACTTTATCATACAGAGAGATCCGGGATCCATCAGAGCCATGGGTAAATGCCAGGTACTGGAAATCCGACATGCCTGGGAACAGGAAGAGTTAGATATTAATCTGGGATGTCTATTGGTAAAGAAGAGCTAACGCTCAGTATGACAGGAGCAGAAGGAAATCTCCCCACAAGAATCTCAAAAGGGGGCCAAACATCCATTTAGGGATCAGACCCTACAAAACTTCACCCAACATTGTGAAATACATTTTCAGGTAGTGCTACTTTTAAGTGTATATTCACGCCAAATGGGACTGCCCTGAACGAGTATTCCAGTGCAGTCCCACCGCATGACAAGGCAAAATGCCTGGTCTCCTGTGTGCGCGCGACTCATACCACTGCTTTGCGGTGGTGTCTGGGCACTGTGCGCTGAAAAAGAGTAGTGCATGCAATACTTTTTTTCAGCTAAACACAGTGCGAGGCACTGCCTCACACCGTGCGGCAGCCAAATAAACGAAATGAAATGTCTGTGTTTAACCACTTGTCTACAGGGCACTTATACCCCCTTCCTGCCCAGGCCAATTTCCAGCTTTCAGCGCTGTCACACTTTGAATGACAATTGCGCGGTCATGCAACACTGTACCCATATGAAATTTGTATCATTTTTTTGAGACAGATAGAGCTTTCTTTTTGGTGGTATTTATTCACCACTGGGATTTTTATTTTTTCTTAAACAAACCAAAAACCACTGAAAATTTTGAAAAAAAAAAAACTCTTACTTTTTGTTATACAATTTTGTAAATAAGTGATTTTTCTCCTTCACTGATGTGCGCTAATGAGGCTGCAGTGATGGGCACGGATGAGGAGGCACTGGTAGGTTGCACTGAAGGGCATTGACAGGCAGCACTGAAAGGCAGCACTGATGCATGACACTGATATATGGCACTGATAGGCGGCACTGATGCACACTGATAGGCGACACTGACTGGCAGCACTGATAGGTGGCACTGGTAGGTTGCACCGATGGGCATCGACAGGCAGCACTGATGAGCACTGAAAGGCAGCACTGATACATGACACTGATATATGCACTGATAGGCGGCACTGACTGGCACTGTTAGGTGGCACTGATAGGCGGCACTGATGGGTGACATTAAAAGGCAGCTCAGATGGGCACTGATATGTGGCATTGATGTGCACTGGTATGCACCAATATGTGGCACTGATATGTGGCATTGATGGGCACTGGCACGTGGCACTGATGGGCACTGACAGGTGGCACTTCTGGGGGTACACTGATCATCAGTGCCCTGACGATCAGTGTACATGTCCCCTCCGCGGAAAGCCGATTACCGGCTCTCCTCTCGAGCTGTCAGCGTGGACAGAAATGCCGATAACCGGCATTTCCGTGTTTACATGTGATCAGCTGTGATTGGACACAGCTGATCACATGGCCAAGCCGACATCTGCGGCTCTTTCCGTGAACAGTTGTGTCCGAGGGACACAGCACACCGGCGATCACCACACGCTCCCTGAGCCGCGCATGCGTGTTGAGAATGGAAGGACGTCATATGACATCCTATCAGAACGAGAGAACCACCTTGCGCTCGTCATTGTACTATATGGCGGGCGGGAGGTGGTTAAAAAAAAAAAAAAAAAAAGTGTGGTACAGAACGGTGATTCTTTGTCTTATAAAGTGGCAGCTGGTGTGAATGGACCCTGAAAGAAAAAATTCTTCTATTAAGTTTTTAATGGAGTGAGGAAAAGTTAGCAACCTTTTTGGCTTTTATTCAGTGCACCATTGGCCACACACCCATCTATACTGAGTGTAAAGACAGTGCGGGACAGGATGTTAAATGTTAGGATTTTACTGCTGTCTGTGCATCCCACAAGGAATATTTACCACCTCTATTGTCCTGGTAATCAATGCCACAAAAACTAAAAAAGAAAAAAAAAAAAAAAAAAGAATAAATCCAAAATTTTGAGTTGTTACTAGAACAGGAACAGAACTAGAATCTTCTAATGAGGGCACCTGTGGTGGTGACAACTGCCTAGAAGGGATTTTCCCCACTTTGGACAAATTCCCTCTGACTTCCTGTTGTCTCTACAGGACAGGAAGTAAAGAGAAGTTTCCAAGACAGCTGACATGGGTTTTAACCTTCCAAAAGTATAAAACATTCTGGGCTTGGATTGAAATGTAAAGCATTCAGTAAAGAAATGACAGTGTGTACCTTGGAATTTATAGACTGTTCCCACCACACCAATGATTTCCATGGTAACCTTTTCCTCTGAAGCTTGGCTTTCAGTTTTCATCCCATCTGACCTTTTCTTCCGAGTTTTTATCTTCACCCGTAGGATCATAGTGGTGGTGGGGAAGCGATTGGCACACAATGGATGACAATAAGGGTCCTTAGGTCTGTAATACAGCTCAAGCCTTTTCGCAGGATCAGCATACACCTAGCAGGGGAGGAAGAAAACACCAATAAACTAAAATTCTAAATACAATTAGTGATAAAATAGGAAATTCTAATAATAACATGTAAAAGGATACAGAGTGGAGCTGATTTAATAAAAGGTGTAGAGGGTGTAGTTTCACCTAGAAAAGTGCTAAGTGATCATTTGTTCTCTCTGAATACCAAAGCAAGTGCTAACAAAAAGCATGAGCTTTGCCACATGGAAATAGAATAGTGTAGATGAACTCTAAAGGTACTGATACAATAAAGGTGGCAATGCCAATAAGCTTTGTCTCAAAAATGCTGCAGAGGAGTAACAGCTGGTAAAAATTCCATGTGTATCAAAAGAGTGGGTCTACCTTCCAGCTGATGAGCTTTAAAAACTTGGATCGTTTTAAAAGACACAAATTAAAGTATATCTAAATGCAAGACTTTTTTTTTCCTTTTAGGGTCAACTGACAGGTCTATGTCAAGATAATGCATATAACTTGTGTTACGGCATTACAGTGTCATTCATTGCTGAACTGCATCCCTAATCATTAAAGCAACAGCTGGTGTTATAGCATGCCACAATGCACAACAGTGTGCCGAGGTGCGGTATCCTCCAAAAAAAGGGTCATGTTCAATAACAATCTGAACAACCTACGCCCCGTCTCCTTCCTCCCCTTTTTATCCAAACTCCATAAGCCCTGGTTCACACTGTTGGGGTGCAAAATTCGCACCAGTTTCTGTGCGATTTCCGCACCGCATCATAAACGCACCCCATTTTAAGTTAACAACACCCCGAAATCGGTTCGCAAAATGCGATCAAGTTCTGGTGCGGACAAAAAAAAAAAAAAAAAGGGTCCTGCACTATTTTGGTGTGGATGCGGTGCAATTTGATGGCTCAAATTGCACTACACAGAGATTGCAGGTGATTTGCACAGGAATGTGGTGCGGTTCTTGTGCAAATCACATGCAATGTGCCACACCGCATCAGTGTGAACCAGGGCTGAACGTCTTATCTACAACCGACTGAGCGACCACCTCACTGAGAATAACCTTCTTAATCCCCTTCAGTCTGGATTTCGCTAACACTCCATAGAAACTGCTCTCCTAAAACTCACAATCTACTAATGGCTAAATCCAAAGGACAGTATTTTGTACTCCAACGTCTGGACCTCTCTGCTGCCTTTGATACGATGGACCATTGCCTCCTCCTCAAAAAAACTCCACGCCTTTGGTCTCCGTGACTGTACTCTTTGCTGGTTCTCATCCTACTTATCCAACCGCACCTTCTACTTCCTCCTCTCCTCTACCTTTCTCTGTCGTGGTCCCCGAAGGTTCTGTTCTTGGACCTCTATTCTCGATCTACACCTCTACCCTGGGTCAGTTAATAGCCTCCTATGGCTTCCAATACCATTTCTATGCTGACAACACCCAAATCTATCTCTCTACTCCTCAGTTCACTCCTTTAGTCTCCTCGCGTATCATTAATTTACAAACAGACATATCAGACTGGATGTCACACCACTTCCTCAATACAATCTATCCAAAACTGACCTCATATTTCCTCCCCCACGTGCCTCTTCCCCTGATTTTTCTGTCAAGATCAATGGCACAACTATCAACCTCTCCCTGCATACCAAGGTTCTCGGTGTAATCCTGGACTCTGAATTCTCCTTTCAGCCCCATATCCAATCCCTCTCCAAATCTTGCTACCTCTACCTCCGCAACATCTCCAAAATACGCCCCTTCCTAACCTATGACACACAAAGCTTCTAATTCACTCTCTGGTCATCTCTCACCTCAACTACTGCAACTCCCTTCTCATTGGATTACCTTTACACGGGATATTCCTCCTTCATTCCATCATGAATAATGCTGCCAGACTCATCTACCTTACCAACCGTTCAGTGTCTGCTACTCCTCTCTGCCATTCCCTCCATTGGCTTCCGCTCACTCAACAAATGGTATTCAAAATACTAACAACTTCGAAAGCCATCCACAACTCAGCCCCCAGCTACATCACAAACGTGGTCTCAAAATACCAACCAAATCGTTTTCTTCGTTCCTCCCAAGACCTCCTGTTACTTCCTTATTACCTCCTCCCATTCTCCAGGACTTTTTCCAAGCCTCTCCCATCCTATGGAACTCCCCACCCCAATCTGTCTATCTCATACTCTGTTTGCTTTTAGATGATCCCTGAAAACCCTTCCCTTCAGGGGAAACCTATCCTGCCTCCAAGTAACAACTGTACTTTTATTTTCTCCATCAGCTCACCTTCCCCATAGCTATTACCTTTGTAGCACTTGACCCTCCCTCCAATACAAGCTCTACTGGGCAGGGCCCTCTGATTCCTCCTGTATTGAATTGTTTTGTAGCTGTACGGTCTGCCCTCATGTTGTAAAGCGCTAACTGTTTGACCTATATAAATCCTGTATTATAATAATAATGTACAGTTTTTAACACATTAGGGTATGTTGGCAGCCCTTTCATTTTCCATGAGCTACCTTAAAGCAATGCACTGCAGCAAAGTAAATGGGCGCTTAGTGTTGGATAGAGCAGGGAATGGTAACGATCCCAGTGCTTAATAAACAGAGAGGATAACTCTCTCCTGTGACAACACGGACTGTAAAGAAAAACCTGAGAGTACTTCTACCCTACCATACTCTATCCAAAACAAAAAGCTTCAATGCTTGGCGTGCATGCAGGCAATCTGTGGTAGACGTACATGCAGTAGTGCTCTGCGCTGCCTCTTCTGTTATTAGTAGAAGAGAGTTCCTTTGAGGAACAAATTGCATTACCCCAAAATTGCATTTATGAAATGGCTAGAGGTCATGGATAAACCTAAAACATTTTAACCCCCCTCCCCCAAAAAAACACAAGCTCATCCTCCAAAGAAAAAAAAACACAAAAACCCACAATCACTGGTGGTCAGTGGCATTCTAAGACCTCTCACCTCCATCACTGGTAGTCATTGGCACTTGCAATCCCCTCAAAACTAACCCCCTACTCTTGAGTGCTCATTCCTCTGCTGCAGCCAGAGGATTTAGGGCTCCTTTACTCCTGCTTAGCTCAATGAAGAGTGATCCGCAATCGGATCACACTTCAGAGTGCATCTGACAGGTGATGAGGAGGCATTGTATTTTCTTGTGTGTGGTTGCAGCGCAGCCCTATTCACTTGAACTAGATTTGTGGATATAATACTTGCACGTGAATGTACACGGTATGTGTACACCCCCAACGTGCAGCTGTGGGGGGGTAAAATGTGTCTCAACCGCAAAGATTTTACTACCCCCCCAATGCAAATATAGACAAGCCCTTGAAGTGATTCTAAAGGTTCATTTTTTTTTGTAAAATAACAAACGTGTTATACTTGCCTGCTGTGTCCAGTGGTTTTGCACAGAGCAGCCTGGAGCCTCCTCTTCTTGGGACCCCTGCAGGCTCTTCTGGCTCCTCCTGTCGGGTGCCCCCACAGCAAGCAGTTTGCTATGGGGGCACCCGCTGCTCAGTGTGTCCTTTCACACAGCTTGACCCCGCCCTCTCTCTCCCCTCACTGGCTGACTGGCAGTGATTGACAGCAGTGGGAGCCAATGGCTCCTGCTTGCTGTCTCAGTCAATGAGGATGCAGAGACCTGGGACAGCCGAGGCTGTTGTGAACATCACTGGATGGCGATGAGGCTCAGGTAAGTATTGAGGGGCTGGGGGCACTGCTGCACACAGGTTTTTTACCTTCATGCATAGAATGCATGAAGGTAAAAAACCTTCAGCCTTTACAACCATTTTAAGGTGGAACAAAAGTTGTAATAATAAAAATTGGGAGCCGGCAGGCTCTTTTTTGCAGAAGAGACATACAATGTCTCTTTTGCAACAAAATACACCTACCTTCCTGCATTTTCCTATAGAATGTACACTGAGCAGCACATCAGCATACGGCACCACAATCATTAAGGCAACAGCCTGTGTTGTAGCGTGCCACAATGCACAATAGTGTGCTGAGGTGCAGTATTGTCCAAAAACTAGTCATGTGCAATTTTTAAAACATTGCATTCTGGCACAGTGCCTGGATGACTGCGTTCCTGCACATGCATGGGAGTGACATAATTTGGCCTCAGCCAATCAAGATGGCTGAAGACCGCCACTCAGAAGAAGCTGGGGGAGAAGATGCTGGTGGCAGCAAAGGACCTCATGGGTGTCAGACAGTTGGAACAGAGGGCAGTCTTTACTGTCCTTAGTCCCGCCTTTACGCCAGTGCTTCCCAGCCCTTTAAGGGATTTCTGATGCTGGAAGGAGGGTTTATGATCATGTAATCACTGTGATTGGCTGTCACATGATCAGAGTGCTACCAATCGCAAGTAGCAATTAGCCAACGATAACTGTGTCGGGAGCACGCTCTTGGCACATGTTTGTTTACATTTTGGTTTGCAGATATGCAGCCTCTCGGCATCAAGGCCGACTCACCAAGATGCTGCGTAGTCTTGGCGTGAAGATTTTAACGAATGCATTCATACCATAAATCCTCCCCCTTCCCTTTCTCCATTGTGAGAGGAAGGACTTACCAGTGTAAACAGTACTGCACTGTTTACACTGGTGGTGATCGCTGTGATTGGTCATCACAAGGCACAAAGCCGCCCCAATCAGCTCTATCATGATCGCTGGGATTGGTCATCACAACCATGATAGAGCTGATCGCTGTGATCGGTCATCACAAGGCACAGAGCCGCTCCAATCAGTTCTATCATAACCGCTGGGATTGGTCATCACAATCATGATAGAGCTGATCACTGGGATTGGTCATCACAATCATGATAGAGCTGATCGCTGTGATTGGTCATCACAAGGCACAGAGCTGCTCCAATCAGTTCTATCATGATCGCTGTGATTGGTCATCACAATCATGATAGAGCAGATCGCTGTGATTGGTCATCACAAGGCACAGAGCCGCTCTAATCAGCTCTATCAAGATCGCTGTGGTTGGTCATCACAATCTTGATAGAGCTGATCGCTGTGATTGGTCATCACAAGGCAGAGAGCTGCTCCAATCAGTTCTATCGTGATCGCTGTGATTGGTCATCACAATCATGATATTAGCAGATTGCTGTGATTTGTCATCACAAGGCACAGAGCCGATCTAATCAGCAATATCATGATCGCTGCGATTGGTCATCACAATCTTGATAGCGCTGATCGCTGTGATTGGTCATCACAATCTTGATAGCGCTGATCGCTGTGATTGGTCATAACAAGGCACGGAGCTGTTCCAATCAGTTCTATCATGATCGCTCTAATTGGTCATCACAAGGCACAGAGCAGCTCCAATCAGCTCTATACTTCTAGCCGATCTTCTCCTGCAATGATAGAGGGAGCGGAAGCTTTGCGCACAAACACAAATGTACAAAAGCAGGATATACAGGTACCTCCAGCCACCCTAATAAGTGTGCCAACTGCCCGCTGCATTACTATATCCAGTCCTGAAGACATGGTTGAGGATCTGTGCTTATGAAAAACCTACCTGCCACACCAATACTTTCTGTTTTAACAACCTAAAATTAGTAAACAGATGAGGCATTCTGACTTCTCTGACTGCAAGCTGCCTGTGGGGCAAGAATTTAGAAAGTACAGAAGCCAGAGGATCAGCATGACCGCCATACAAGTTTCAGTACTTCTTAATAGGGCAGAGAAGGATCAGAACCTCTGTCAGAGTTTTGTCAATACTTGTGTCGGGAGGGGAGAGGGAATTTACTCCCTTACTCCTGAGGGGAACTCTAACATTTTACAGTTGCCACCAGAGCAGGAAGTGAGGGAAATCTTCTGAAGGGGACACCTGTGCTGGTGACAAATGTCTAATAGGGGACTCACCCTTACTTCCTGTTGAGAGAAAGTGAAAGGAAGTGTAAATGATACGAATACAACATAAAAAACCTGACAGGCCTTTTAACCCTTCTCTATTCAGATGAAAATAAAAGAGGTTTGGCCTGTTCTACACTTTACCAGGCAGACAGCTGAACCTGCACAGGAATGCCCATCACAGCACCCACACTACTAGATCTATATCAAGGATGTGCCCTGCAGATAGCCAACACAGTACAGTACACAGCGATAAGCTCATGGCGGTGCAGCAGTAAATAACTTCCCCCCGAAGCCTCACCCGAGACACCCCTTCCTCCCCGCCCAGGGTGAGCAGCATCTTGTCCACATCCTGCACCAGCCCCGGGTACTCCACACACACCATGGGCTTCTTGCCCCTGGGGAGAGTCACAGTAGCGGAGCCCTCCATTTCTGCCATGCGTCCGGTTGAGATTTGCTTCCCCGCTGTCGGATTCTTAAGGTTCCGCCGCACAAGAGTTCCTATCTCTCCCCCACTTTCTAGGAAACGGGATCCCTCTGTCAGTCTTTTCCCCATGAATGTGCCTCCCGAAAGCTATATCTTTTTTAACAACTTTATTTCAAGGACAAAGTCATAGGGGCATGCAGCTTTATTTGTTGCATACTCTGACTTTAAGGTATAAAGGCAAAACGTTTTTGTGTTGTTTTTGTTTTGGATGGAGTAGAGAGAGATTAGAACCCCTGTCAGTTTTTATTGCAGTCCCTGTTATGGAGATTCACCCTCGATTTGTCCTGGTTACCATTATCATTGAAAGTAAAAGAAAATCCCTATGTTTGGGTTCTCCCCAGAAAAGTAATCGAGGGGAAATCTTCCAATGGGGATGCTAGTTCTGGTGAATTCCCTTAATTTGCAGGGATTTTCTCTCACTTCCTGTTTGGTTATGGGACAGGAAGTGAAGGGAAATCTCTATAATAGGACACAGATAGTAAAAAAATAGGGGTTATAACCTCCCTTACTCTATCCAAAATGAAAAAAAAAAAATTTTGCCTTTAGTACTACTTTAACACTTGCGCCATCAATCTTGGCCAGGCAGGAACCCCTCCTTCTGAGTGGATGTCATATGACGTCCTCTCAGAAGGAGCCGCTCAAGACTAGGATCTTTTTAACAGATATAACTCTTATAAGACATATTATCAGATATAACAGTTATACTCTAAGTGACATTAATCGTTTTATTAGCCTTTTATGATGTGTATTTGTGATACAAGTATATGTGAATAATAAAATACTGTTTTTTATGTACTGGTATTTGTTTTTGTTCTATACCTCGGAAGGTACATTCATAGTCCCAATCCAAAGTGCTGTTTGGACATTTTTTAATGGGTGCAGTGTTGCATGACCGTGCAGTTGTCATTCAAAGTATGCCAACTCTGAAAGCTGAAAATTGACCTGGGCAGGAAGCGAGTAAAAGTGCCCGGTATTGAAGTGGTCAGTCATTTTCTACAGTTAAGGGACTTCACCTGTATAAAAGCTACTGTCTGTTGTACTTTAAGATGGGCCTGATGTTGCAGAACGATGAACTGACAAGTTTAAAATGGCCACCACCTTTCACCGCCAAGTTTATGTGAGCTGCTGTTGTGGCAATGGACAGCTGTTCATTATTGTTCTACATTCGTGCAATCGAGAAACACCCTGGGGTTTATTTACCAAAGCTGGAGCATGCAAAATCAGAATCACATCTGCATGGAAACCAATTGGCTTCCAGGTTTTATTTCCAAAGCTTGGTTGACCAAGCAGAGGTTAGAAGCTGATTGGTTTCTTTTCAGAAGTGAGCCTGATTTTGCACTCTCCAGCTTTAGTAAATAAATGCCCCTGTGTCAAGTTTCACCATTAAGCTTATCAAGTGCTACTTAAAAGGGGGCAAACCCCTTATTACAAAAATCCCTTCCCTCCTATCTTTTCAATGTAAAGAAAAGGGTATAATAGTAGAAAAATATTAATACTGAAATAAAAATATAAATATGAAACTATATATATATATATATGTATATATATAAAAAACAAAAACCACACAAAAAATTTCTAAAATAAAGAATATTTTTAAATATGAATCAAAACAAAAGTAATTAAAAAGTCAAGTTCAATCAATAAAGTGTTCACTCAGTGAACCCTCCTTTGGATAATGAAAAATATGTTCATCTGTCATCAATTCCCGTGCAAAGACATCCTCCACCATATCTCTGCTCACCTCACGCAGTGTGACCTCACCTTATACAGTGTTATGGTCTAACTGCACTTTTGGTCCCATATGGACTCAGAAGATCAGCTCTAAAACGGCTCTTGGAACAACTTTACAGCAGACAATAGCATTCATTAAGTGGGTCCCTGCTTTGCTTTGCCTTGCATTACATTACGGATGGTGTCTGGTTTGAGCATGTACAGGACTCTGCTGCTGAGATGATACTGCCATCTAGTGTTTAATCAGTACATCACTGGATCATCATCATACCTGGTGCAAAATACACCTCCAGAACGTGAGTGTATTTCTTATGTTTAATTGATGAATAAAAGTTTAAAAGGATAAAGCACTATGTGGAGTTCTTTTTAATGAGGAATACGGCTGATACAAAGACGCTTATCAGGAGGGAGCTTACTTTGGAGTCTTCATTCATTGATCTTCTGAGCCCATATGGGACCAAAAGTGCAGTTAGACCGTAACATTGTATAATGTGAGGTCACACTGCGTGAGGTGAGCAGATATATGGTGGAGGATGTCTTTGCAGGGGAATTGATGACAGATCCACATATTTTTTGTTATCCAAAGGAGGGCTCACTGAATGAACACTTTATTGATTAAACTTGACTTTTTAATGACTTTTGTTTTGATTCATACTTAAAAATATTCTTTATTTTATATATTTTGTGATTTTTGTTTTTTATATATATATTGTTTATATATATATATATATATATATATATATATTCAATATTAATATTTTTTTTCTACTATTTTATCTTCTAATATATATTTTTTCACTTTTTTTTTTTGGTTATATAGGGATTGTGCCATTGTTTCATGTAGCACAGCATTTTTTCACTTCACATTATGATTGTATAATTTTCCCCACTGAGACATGGGTTGTGTGCACTAGGGGCTACAGTATTTAATTGTAATTTTTTGTTTTCATTTCACCATAGTTAGCGTTTGAGTTATTCAATTTATTAAAGAAAAGTACTTCATCTTCTGTGTGGATATCTAGCTGAAGTCAAGTCTGAGTTAATTGCTGTTGTGGCAGCAGCTCACTAATGCTCTACACAAATGCAGAGGAGGAAAGACTTTCTGCTAAAGCTTCTCCAGTCAAGTTTTCAATTTCATGTGTTGATCTGCACTGCAACTTAAAGGGGCAATCACCTAAATCCTTTTCATCCTTGCAACAAAGGCAAAAAGGGTACTTTGGCTCATGCTCGGACATGCCAAGCTGAAGTGAGTTTGGGTGAGTCATTGCTGAAGGCTCAGACAATGGCTTGCCACAAAGAGAAGTCTACCCAAAGGTAAGAAACCTTTGTGAAGCTCTTTGTTTCAAGTTCTACATGCAGAAACTGAACTGTTGCCCAACATAGGGGGCAACCATTTGCCACTTCTTAAATTGTTCTTGACTGTGCTATAGCCGAATGACTACAGTGCGGTCTTCTAGTTCTGGGAGGGCATCCGTGGACATCCACCCAAGAACATGCACCCCGCGCCCCCTGGAGCATGCTTCCGGGTGTATCTATGATTGATGTGTCCCTTGGACACAGCGCATCACTGATAGAGGTAAAGGGCCAATCACTGTGGCCCTTTAGTACGTGATCAGCGCATCCAACGACACGTGATCACTACATGTAAACACTGCGGGTCACCTGGGGGTTGACAGCTCTCCTTCCCTGACATAGAGATGAGTGTGAGGGAAGGAGACATCTGTGCTATCTGCAGTGAGTTACTGTATTACTGCCCTGGCCTATCGCAAAGAGGCAGGCTCTGATGGGATGCTGGGAGACTTTATATATTCAGTGAGCACACTGAGCTTGGCATCTTTTCCTGGAGAAGATTATTCCAGCCTGGCGGGGTCCCTTCCAGGCAGTGCTGCTATGTCTCGTGAGGCCTCAGGTGGGCTACCTGAGTACCTGGATGCTGAGACCCTGGAACTAAAGAGAGCTGACTGAGGGGGGTTGTCTGTTGAAGATCTGGAAGATTTGACGATTGGAAGTTGGAAGGAGGCACCCATCTGTCCTTCAGCCTTGTATGAGTTCTAAGAGATCATGGGAACCTTTGTGCTTTTGCCACCCCTCTGGTGCTGGAGATTCAGCTGTGGGTCTAGTTAAAGGTCCTAAAGAGCCTTGTTCATCTAATCTTCTTCATAGAAGAGGGACCCTGTTCTTGTGGCTCTAAGAAAGAGATTTACAGTTAACTACTATTACTACTGCTACCTTAAATCTGAAATCTACTGTTTGCTACAGGCATAGACTTTAATATAGGTTGTTCTGAAGGATACCTAAGTCCTCACGTTGTACACAGTTCTTGTTTTTGGAGTAGATGCTTCACTCTAGCACAGCTCGCCGGGTGTTTCAGACCATTTATTCCTCGCCAACTCCTGATCCCACATCCAGCCTAGAGACTATGTGAACTGCTTATTCCATGCGCCTATCTACCCCCTTGTTTTTGGAGTATCCCACCTAATTCCCTCAACCCTATCCAATTTCTCCTAAAATAAAAACAAACACAACACCCCTAGACTGGTCATTGAAGAAATGTGTAAATGAGCATGTGTGCTTAGCTGCGAAGCAAACCTTGTGGGGAAGACCTACACAGTATTCCTGTGTCTCCTACGGGAGTAGCACTACACTCATGTGTTCAATGCTTAGTGCTCCTTATCAAAACAGGGCATACAAAACAAGCAATATTTTTTGTATTATCATCATGTCAAAAAATGATCAAAGTGCTCCAGTACTCATCAAGCAATGTAAAAGTGACAGATAGAAAACAGGGGCAATCATCTTGAGTAATCATTGCAATAACATCCACCAAAATATGTTCTAGATAACTCCTCTCCTTAGTGGCTCAGGCTCAACCCCCTAAAATTGCATCACAAGCAGTGTAAAAAATAATCAATAAAAAATAATACTGATCCATTGCTTTGAAGAGTCTACTTCCTTAACCCTAGCCCCCCCCCCACACCACACACACACACACACACACACATACACACACACACACACACACACACACACACACACAAAATTCTGAAAATCCCCCTCTTATACTTTTTTTTATGTTACTTTTTGTTTTAATATTTTTCTGGCCCCACCCATCAGCCACCATTCTTTCCTAGGCGAGAAGGACTCCTAGGATATCTAGGATATCTACATCACAAAGAGGCTGGTGGGTAGAGATGGCATGCATCATCATAGGCCAGCTGCCTAAACCAGGGAAAGGCAGCTGGCTCATGATGATGTAGATGGACCATGATGGCGGTGTAGCCCGAGCAGTGGAATGCAGTAGAACAGTGCTGAATCCACAGGGCTGGGGAGTATGTAAGCCCCCTGGATTCACTGCCACTTCCCTCCAAGCTGGCCAGGTACCCTTGCATTTTCATGGGAAAGGGGGCACACATGCCTGTCTTTAGGAGTAACTCTGCCATATTGTGTCACATAATCCAGGCCTGAGGTCCAGCTCTTGCACAGTACTCACATTTTCCTAACCACAGGCCCACCTATTTACATAAAGAATGTCTACACAGGATACTTTTCAAAGGTTTACTGAATAACGACATGGTCAAGAACATAGCAAAACAGCTTTTCAACATCACCTTTTCTTTTTCACAGTGCAGAACACATTAGTGCCACCAACTCAAACCAAATCAAACTCAAGTCCAGTCATCTTAACATATGCTCTTTCGTGAGTCCACCAGAAGTGGGTCTTCACATAAAGTCTCTCTCTTGGCCTGGGGCCTGAAGGCCTTCTATTCTTCAGACTACAAGACTACAAGATGTAAATCACAGGTAACCAGCTCCCTTCCAGCTTCTGCCCAGGGACTCACACACACCAAATTATAAAGAGCACAGTACTCCACCCACTTACATAACCCAGGGGTCCAATGGACCAGACGTGTCAAAAAATGAGTCCTACTTAAAAGTGTAGGATAGCAATGGTGCACAGAGCTCATGAAGACAGCAAAGATTTCACTTGCCACCCACCAAGAGGTAAATATTCAGCTTCTTCTATTGTAGTGGAAATCTGGCTAGATTTGTTAGGAATATGACATAGAGTATTTTTCATTCCTTAGCTAAATACGGTTTATATTCTTTTTAACCCTGATAAAAAAGGGTTATAGTGGCTGAAACATGTTGGCTTGATACCAGGCCTTGAGGACAATGAAGACTACATTTGCCACCCACAAAGAGGCAAGTACTGTATTCAACTTTTTCTATTGCAGTGGAAAACTGACTATTTGTTGGCAAGACATTTCATTACTTACATACACATAGTTATTTTCTTTATATCCCTAATAAAAAGGATTGTAGCTGCTGACACACACTTAATACCAATCCATGAATCTAGAAGAAATTGCATTCACCACCCACCAAGAGGTAACTGATCGGCTTCTCCTATTGCAGTGGAAAAGTGGAAAAGTGGTTTGAATTGTTAGTGAGAAGTGACAGGGTCTCTTTAGTTACTTACCTACACACTGTTTATATACGTTTTGGCATTTGATAAAATGGGTTGGAGCTGCTGAAAAACATTGGCTTGATACCAAGCTGTGAGGACAGAGAAGATTCTATTTGCCACCCACCAGGAGGGTTGGCTTGATACCATTGAACTATGCTAATGAATTCATTACTCATGGACTCCTAAACCTTTTGTGTGGTGCTCTTGTTTTTACCTATACTTTCCATTTTTTTCGCTTGAGGTGCCTTTGAGACCCTTTCATATTAGCTGTCAGAGACATTGTACCCTAAAATATGGACTTATCATTCCAATGGGAATAGAAATCAACTCTGGATCCAGCGCCTACTACCCACACCTTTATGATTTCTCACTGTCTTTGTCCTAATTGTTGGGACTCCCTCTCACCTTTTTGACACAAAGATTACTGTCACTCCCCCCATGTAGGGATAAAAACAGCAATATATAGAGGAGCTAACTTTCCATACACTAAACTTACATCTACAATAAACCTAGAAAGAAGTTTTGACTCGAGTCTTACTTTAAAAGAAGCATAGGCAAGATTTGCTTTTCTCACATGGTGGGGGGACTGGTAAAAAACTGCACATGGAAGCATCCAACTGTGGCCCATAGGGCATCGTACATCAAAGGTGTCAGCTGTTCTGGCATCTATTAAAAGATTTGCTGGCTGGGAAAATCCGCATGACTCCAAGTCTTCATTAAAAGTGAAATGATTAGGAAAGTTGTGGGAAAGTAACCAATATACTTCTGCATGTTGACGGGGTCTGGGAACAGCAATGACAGATCATAAAGAGGTTATAAAAGGGCATTAGAGAGAGTGGATATAAAAGCAGAAATTCTAGAAATAGGGTTTATATAATAGCCTGCAGGACGTGGTTGAGCACAGAATTACAGAAGATACAATGGTGGGTTCAGCACTAGTTTTGTTCACAGCTCTGATAACACTCAGCAATGGAGAGCAGTCCTGTCCAGGTAAGTTATTAAAAGGAAACTTTTTTATTTAATTTTAGTCAGATATTGATGAGCTGAATCACTGGTCTAGTTCAGAGGTCACCAAACTTTCTAAACAAAGTGCTAGTTTACTATCCTTCAGACTTTAGGGGGGGACAGACTGTGGCCAGTGGTAGTAGAAAATGCCCCTGTATCAGTGGGAGTAATAGTGCCCCATAACTGGTTTAATGGGAGTAATAGTGCCCCATTATTGGTATCAGTTGAAGGAATAGTGTCCTATTGTTGGTATCAGTGGGAATAATAGTGCCCCATTGTTGATATAAGTGGTAGGAATAGCACCCCATCATTGGTGTCAGTGGGAAAAAATGGTGCCCCATCATTATTGTCAGTTATGGATGGCATAATGCCCCAAGGGCTAAATAGAGACAAGACACAGCCACATCGGGACCTAGGGCCACAGCTTGGAGACCACTGGTCTAGTTTCTTATGTATCTAAAGCAGGCTTTTTCAACTTTCTTACCCCTAAGGGACCTATGAAATAAATATCAGGTTCTCCAGCAGTGATACCTTTTGCCTTAGGGTACATTACCATGATCAGTAATTTGAAGATAGTTTTAAATATGACAATTAACCCTTGCATTGTGGTGGTTAGTGGAAAATTGCCCCTTGCAGTGTTGGTTTTATAAGGAGGCAAAAGGGGCAACTGCCCTTGGCCCGCTTGACAGAAGGGGCCTCTCTCGATACAAGAAAAATATAAAACAATATAACAAAATTATATAAAATGATAAAAATAAATAATAAAATAATATAAAATATATAATAATAAACATTACTTTATTTTATCAAATGTATTATTATTAGCAATATTTTGCCAGGGATTGTAAAAGGTTTTACTCTGGACCGGTATATTGTATCATTTTTAAAAATGAATTCTGGCAGCTCAAGCGAACCACACTTACACTCTTAAGGAAGGTAGCCTATGACTGCGTGTGAGTGTGCATGTGTGACCTCATGTGTGACTGTCATTGAGAAAGTAAACCAACTCTGTGTATAAGGGGCTTCCCCAAACCTGAAGTGGCCCGGGCACCCCCAAGGTTTAAATCTGGCCTTGCCCCATTGCATTGGTAGTCAGTATAGATGGGGTATCAACCCACAATTGTTAATTGCTCAAGGAACACATAGCAACCTCAGGCAGAACCCTGGTTGGGAAACACTGCTCTAAAAGATGCCAGCATTAGGAAAGTCCTGCTGTCTAGAGATGTCTTATTGATGCTCTGCCAAAACTAGACAAGATAGCATAGAAAGCACACACACACACACATATATATATATATATATATATATATATATATATATATATATATATACTGTATATATGTTTTTTAAGCAATTATTTTACACTTTCACTACAAGTATTTATTCAGATATTTCATCTCTTACTGAAAAAGGGCACTTTTATTTTTTTCTTTGCTGGCGTCTCCCTCAAGGGCCATGTCACACTAGGACTTCTTTACAATTTGGTGATTTTGCCACTGGTAAGTTGTCACCATTCAGAGAAATTCCCTGCCCCACAGCTGTACATAACAAAGGGGTGGGGATTCTGGTGACTCCATGGACGTCCTCCCAGAACACCGCCCCCTGTGCACGCCTGGTGTGCACATCAGGTGCGCTCTGTGACCGCTGCGTCGTTTGGACAGCGCTGATCACAGATCAGGGTAAAGGGCCATTCACAGCAGTACATTACCATGTGATCAGCTGTGTCCAGTTACAGCTGATCACATATAAACAGTCTTGCTGGTATGACACAGTATGGGAGGAAAAGAAAGCTGGTACCCGGCAAGGCTGTCGGTACATGGTTTACATTGATAATCAGAGCATTGATTAGCAGTGCCCTGATTATCACTGCAGCCCCATCAGTGCAGCATCAGCGCAGCCCCATCAGTTCCTCCTCATCAATGCCATCAGTGCAGCTTATTAGTGCAGCCTATCAGTGCCCATCAGTGCAGCCTCATCAGCGCACATCAGTGAAGAAGAAAAACTACTTATTTGCAAAATTTTATAGCAGGAACTAAGAAAAAACTTTTTTTTTCATTTGTTTAGCTAAAAATTTAAAAACCCAGTGGTAATGAAATTCCACCAAGAGAAAACTCTGTCTAAAAAAAAAAAACGATAAAACTTTTATATGGGTACAGTGTTACGTGACTGCACAGTTGTCATTCAAAGTGCAACAGCACTGAAAGCTGAAAATTGGCCTGGGCAGGACGGGGGAGAAATTGTAGTGAAGTGGTAAAAATGATGATATTAACGATGATGTTAAAAATTATATTAACATATTAAATCTTATATGGGATTTTAGTGATTGAGTGCAGTTATAAGTCATGTCCAAATTGTTTCCAATTTGTAAATTCTGTTATGCAGAAGTGAAAGTTGTCAGTGTTGGAGAGCTGGACAAGCTGACGATTCTCAGGGGCTGCCCAGGTCACCCTGGCCTTCCTGGACAAAAAGGAGAAGTTGGGACACCCGGAGAGAAAGGTAGGTGCTGGTACTGCTGTGTTTGGGGATTTACTATTTATATCACAGACGTATTCTATCAAACTTTATGAAACAAGAACCGTCTCTGTTGGTGCTACCAGCTTCTTCTAGGTTGCCTACCCTAAAGGTAGTGGTGGTGGTGGGGGGGGGGGGGGGGGGGTTCTGAGCTTATGTTAAATTACTGTTTTGCAATATGTTTGGTTTGTATTAAGACAATTACACTGAATTTGAGTTGTCCCATTTTGTGACATTCTTTCTAGGTCAGGAAGGCTCAGTAGGGAAGAGAGGACCTCCTGGCATACAAGGTTGGAAACATATAATCTATTAAATAGTGAAAGTATATGTATAGGCCAGTGGTCTCCAAATTGAAGCCCGGGGGCCTGATTCAGCCCTTTGCTATGTTTTATCCGGCCCTTGGGGTACTATTCCATCCACTGACATCAGCAAAGGAGCATAATTCCTCACACTGACCCCAGGAAAGAAGAACAATTATTCCCAATGATACCAACAATGAGACACAATTCCTCCCAATGACACCACTGATGGGGCACTATTCCTCCCACTGACACCACTAATGGGGCACTATTCTTGCCACTGACACTAATGATGGCACATTGTTTGCTCCCACATACACCAGATTCAGCCCTTTGCTATCTTTTATCCGGCCCTTGGGGTACTATTCCATCCACTGATGCCAGCAAAGGGGCATAATTCCTCACACTGACCCCAGGAAAGAAGCACAATTATTCCAAATGATACCAACAATGAGACACAATTCCTCCCAATGACATCACTGATGGGGCACTATTCCTCCCACTGACACCACTAATGGGGCACTATTCCTGCCACTGACACTAATGATGGCACATTGTTTGCTCCCACATACACCAGATTCAGCCCTTTGCTATCTTTTATCCGGCCCTTGGGGCACTATTCCATCCATTGACACCAACAAAGGGACATAATTCCTCTCACTGACCCCAGGAAAGAAGCACAATTATTCCCAATGATACCAACAATGAGACACAATTCCTTCCAATGACCCCACTGATGGGGCACTATTCCTCACACTGACACCACTGATGGAGCACTATTCCTGCCACTGACACCAACAATGGCACATTGTTTGCTTCCACATACGCCAGATTCAGCCCTTTGCTATCTTTTATCCTCCCACTGACACCACTAATGGGGCACTATTCCTGCCACTGACACTAATGATGGCACATTGTTTGCTCACACATACACCAGATTCAGCCCTTTGCTATCTTTATCCGGTCCTTGGGGCACTATTCCATCCATTGACACCAACAAAGGGACATAATTCCTCCCACTGACCCCAGGAAAGAAGCACAATTATTCCCAATGATACCAACAATGAGACACAATTCCTTCCAATGACCCCACTGATGGGGCACTATTCCTCACACTGACACCACTGATGGAGCACTGTTCCTGCCACTGACACCAACAATGGCACATTGTTTGCTTCCACATACGCCAGATTCAGCCCTTTGCTATCTTTTATCCTCCCACTGACACCACTAATGGGGCACTATTCCTGCCACTGACACTAATGATGGCACATTGTTTGCTCCCACATACACCAGATTCAGCCCTTTGCTAGCTTTTATCCAGTCCTTGGGGAACTATTCCATCCACTGATGCCAACAAAGGGACATAATTCCTCCCACTAACCCCAGGAAAGAAGCACAATTATTCCCAATGATACCAACAATGAGACACAATTGCTCCCAATGACACCACTGATGGGGCACTATTCCTGCCACTGACACCAATGATGGCACATTGTTTGCTCCAACACACGCCAGGCCGCTTTTTACTCCCACTGACCCCAGTCCAGCCCTTCTTAAGTCTGAAAGGACAGTAAACTTGCCCTTAGATTAGATAGTTTGGAGACCCTAAGTATAGACAATAAAGAGCGAAAGGCTATTTTCTTCAGAATACAGCACTCCAATCCAATATTATTAAGGGTCCATGCACACTGGGCTTACAAAATGCTGCTTCTACAAGAGTTTTGTGTTTTGATTGTAGAAGCAGCCCAATGTTATCTTTCTTGTCCATGCACATTAGGGCATTTAGAGGTATATTTTAACCACTTCAATACCGGGCATTTTCACCCCCTTCCTGCCCAGGCCAATTCTCAAACAAACAGAAAAAACTTTTTCTTTGATACTGTTATAAAATTTTGCAAACAAATGTTTCTTCATAAATTTAGGCCAAGATGTATTCTGCTACATTTCTTTGGTTGGTGAAATAACCCAAATCAGTGTATATTATTTGGCCTGTAGGAAAGTTAAAGAGTCCACAAACTATGGTATATATCTGAAAATTGATCAATCCTGAAGTACTGATGACCTATTGTGAGGCGCAAAAATGTCAAGACAGTACAAATACCCCCAAATTAACCCTTTTTGGAAAGTATTTACTAAGAGGCATGGCAAGTTTTTTTAAGTTTTTTGTCCCAATTTTTTGGTGTGTTCAGGAAGGACGTCATATGAGGCCCATCTGGAAAGACGAAAGTCCAACCCGACCTATTGTAAAAGTGGTTAAGCTCAGCGTTCTGATGCATAAAAAAGACCCTTCAGGTTTTTTTCCCATAAAGCTGTGTATCATGATATAACCGACAATGGTATTAACTAAAACGACAAAAACAGCCGGAAACGGCTGTTGAAAACACTATAGTAAAAAACAGATAATAGACCGATTGTTCATCGAACAAAATAGTTTTCCCCAATTTTCTTATAGTGTGTACCCAGCTTAACAGTGTAAGTAAATAGAAATTAAATCAATAAACGCCCAAGCGCTAAACGCGGTACCGCGTTTACATGCATTTTTGAAGTTTATCGGTTTTCTGCTGCCTCGTCTAGGGGAGTTCAGTGTACATGTAGCCTTGAAAAGAAAAAAAAAAGATTATTAAAGTTACATTAACTTGTTAGAACTTATGTGAGATTTTAGTGATTGGGTTTGGGTCTACTAATGGCTCTGAAAATTTATACTGAAGTCTAAGAAAAGATCTATTCCAGTATGTATTCTTAACTCAAAAGCTCCAATTTTTTTTTTTTTTTTGCTGCTGTGATCTGACTTCCTGTTAGAGGGTGGCTAAATTTGTTCTCCATGGTTCCACTGTATGTAAGAATGTAGTCACCCTCTCTTGCTTGCTCCCGAGATAGACTATAGACTATATGATTTAAAGTGTGCATAGAGCAGTGCACATGACCACAACTAATGTGCTCTGTTCATGCCAAACAAACGGAAGTGAGAAGGAAAGGGAGTGGTTCTGGAGCTCACATAAGACATTGTAAAGAGGCAGAAAAACACAGTAAGAAACAATTTCAAGTTGTGGATGTCTATAGGTTAATCATGGGGAATAAGGATATAATTTAGTGTCACTATAAGGCTCTAGGGTTTATTAAGGCTCTTTGAAAATTAGGTGTTATTCTGCAAATACCGTTTAAATAACAATTATTGCCAAATTCCATCTATTTAATAGCATGTAGCAGACTTACACAATTTTATTTTTATCCTATAGGAGAGAAAGGAGAGAGCGGCATCACAGAGCCAATATACGGTAAGTCCACAATATCCAGTTATCTTCTATTCTGGACACTCATTATCAAAGTGCCTGGAATAAAACATCCTTGCTTGTCCCATCAAACAGCCAATTAAATGTTGATGTATCTGGGAAATGACCGTTGGAAAGTTTGTTTCAATCTGATTGCTTGATATTGAGTAACATAGTCAGCCTCATTTTCAGCAATTTGCTCAATGCACAATCAGAGAGTATCTCTGCACTGCTATTCAGAGTCCCACCTCTGTCTCAATGGAATTACTGGAGCTGCTAGCACAACTTGTGATTCACACAACAAAAAATAAAAATAAGTGAAAAGATAGTGCAGCTTCTTATCTAGATATATGAACAAACATGCCACAAAACAACCATGTATGTGCATACTTTAAAAAAGTGCATACAGTATGTCTATGTGCAAAATATATTAACAAAAATATACTGTATACATGAAAAAACAAAATATAAACACTAGTGTCCATGAATACTAGTAATAACCAACTCTCTTATATATTATAAGTTTATTTATTTATTTATTATGTGGAAAAAGTACTTCTCCAAAAAGTGCCAAATGCAGATCCTCTGTGCACGGCTCACCAATACTCTGTGCTCTTTCGACGTGCTCTCATTTTCTCTGGAGGACTTCACTAATAGTAAAAAGTCAAATAGTAAAAAGTCAAAAACAGCTCATTAGATGACACTTTTTGGAACAGCGTTTCGCCCCACCCACAGGGCGTATCAAGACCGCTCATTCCACTTCCCACCCAGCCGCTTATAAAGCTTTGGGAGGTCCCTCCCACTAATTCCTCGGCACACTCAAAAGTTAAATTTTACTGGTTACCCTCATTTTTACTTGTAATGGTATTGCTCAAAAAGAAACACAAATATACGCCATAGTGCTCACTGCAGATATTTTATTTAAATAAAAGTAAGTATAGCCACTCACATATAATCAACATCAATGTGCGTTCAAATGAGTTTATACCCTCCTCTGTTATAGCAGCCACAAGTCTCTGTATCTCCGGTAGATCCAAACATCTCTGCCCAGCATGGTGGCATCAGTAGCCACTCCCTACCTGACACAGTAGATCCCAATTGGACTTCCTCTGAACTAGCTACTCCCCACCTAATGTGTTGTGTGCCATTTGGACTTCCTCAGAGGTAGCTATCTCTGAAGAAGTCCAATTGGAACTCAACATGTCAGTGGGGAGTGGCTACTGACCACATCACAGATATGCCAGAGATACAGAGACTTGTAACTTCTACAAGAAAGAAGGATAAACACACCATTTGAACACCCGTTGATGTTGATTACATGTGAGTGCCTTTACTTATTTTTATTTAAATAAAATATCTGCAGTGAGCACTATGGAGAATATTTATGTTTCTTTTTGAGCTATACCATTACAAGTAGAAAGTTCACAGTTCAGAGATATCAGTTAGTAAATATAAGAAATTAGATTTAGGGTACTACCTGAACGCAGCAAAAATCCTGATCCCCAAATATTGGAAGAAAAAAGAAATACCGAAAGAGGAGGAGTGGATAGAGAGAGTAAATTGGACTAGGAAGATGGAGAAGACATATTATATACAGGAAGATAAACTGGAGATATATCTCGCGAAATGGGAAAAATGGGAAAACTTGGTAATAAGTATGAGAAAATGAAGAGTAGAACGTTATAGAGAAAAATTGGGTAGGATATGCTTGCTTTGGATACAAGTCAAGGAAATGCAGAGTGGGGGGGGGGAGGGGTCAAGGTTTTAAGAGGGGGGTAATTGAAATAATAAGAAAAAAAACGTATATTTATGATGATTGAGATGAAATTGTTTATTGTTATTTTTGTGAAAATTATTAATAAATATTTAAATAAAAAAAAAAAAAAAACCAAGTAGAAAGGAGGGTGTTGCTAATTCCTAATTAACATCAGTGGGACTACCTGCATGGGGATGAACAGAGCACCTGGTACGCATTGATACCCCCCATGTAAATGAGGCCTGACTTTACACGCCATGCATGCACACACTTAACTCCTTCTCTACCATACACGGTGTACAGCCCAGGATCCTCTGAGTGCTGATCTGCTCCCATTGCTATGGGAGATGGAATGCCAGGGGAGACATGCCAACAACACTCCCTCGCTACAAGAGAATGTCCCACCTGTCAAAGGTACAAGATTGACAGGCTGTTTGCTGGACCTCTATTACCTTTGGTAACCACTTGCTGTCTTCATACCCCAATGTGTCTTAACTGACCCGAGCTGTAGACTATGTGTGCCAGCTACTTGCATACACCTCTTTAGTTATTTCAGACCAGGTAAAAGGCAAGGTTTAAAGGCTTTACTGAAAATTTACGAACATAACAGAGATCAAAGTACAATACAGTTCTTTCCCTACGTCCCTAGTTCCTATCCCAGGCTTGTGTGCTGCCCTGGCGTACCTGCATAAGTAGAGTCCATTTGTGGCCAAGTTCATGGTTGGCAGAATTCAGTGGATGATGTCTTCAGGACAAACTAGCAGTCCCCTTACATGGTGGAAGGCTTCAACTGGTAAGTGACCTTGGATTCCAATGGTGACTTCCAACGCAAGGGCCGGGAACTCCGGAATCTGGATCTTTCATAATGCAGGATTCAGATACCCCAATGGCTACTGCTGCCCCTGGGCTCTGGACCACTCTCCCTTTTTATAGATACAGGATCAGTGGGTCGGGCCCAAGAAAGCCTGTGAAAGAAAACCCAGGAAATAACATTAACCTTGACCCTCCCATCTGGGGCAGCAACTATCTAGGCTACCATAAGCAACCTGCTTACAGACACAAATCCCAATGGAATGAATGCGATATTCTAAGCATTGATTTCAAGGGGGTTAAATTGGGTTTTACTACTGACTAGGGCATGTTCATCTCTGTTGAGCTGCAGTGGTCTGCAGTCTAACCCCTAGGACATACAGAAAACTTTTTTATGTGCCCATTCCACACCATAGTGCTGCATTGCGGTATGTTGTGCTGCATAAAAAATTCTTACGCAGTAAAATGTAGCACGTTGCAACAGTTGCAAGTTAGGATTAGCTTTTAGTGTAAAGGTTATATGTTGAGCTAATTAGAATGGTTAGGCAAGGGGTAAAGGTTAATATTAAGTGTGAATTTGAAGAGTGAGGTCAAATTTTAGGGGGAGGTAAAATGTTAAGGATACATTTCAGGGTATTGTGTTTCAAGGTTCAGTGTTAGGGTCAGCATGAGGGATTAATCTTGGAGTCAGGACTTGTGGGGACACAATATTTTGTCACTTATATTAGGGGCCTAAAAGTGACACACAGAGAACTACGAGCATTTGTGCTTGACTCAGCCATGTGTCATAAGAACTGTTCTGTTATAAAGCAGGAAGCAGAGCCTGCAAATGTAATCAACAAATATGGCTGCACCTCAGTAAACATATACACTGCTCAAAAAAATTAAAGGAACACTTTCAAAACACAACAGATCTCAATGGGGAAAAATATCATGCTGAATATCTATACTGATATATACTTGGTAATGTGTTAGGAACGTAAGGATGCCCCATCGTTTGATGGAAATGAAAATGATCAACCTACAGAGGACTGAATTCAAAGACACCCGAAAATCAAAGTGAAAAAATGATGCAGCAGGCTAGTCCATTTTGTTGAAATTTCATTGCAGCAACTCAAAATTGGTACTCAGTAGTTTATATGGCCCCCACGTGCTTGTATGTATGCCTGACAACATCGGGGCATGCTCCTAATGAGACAACGGGTGGTGTCCTGGGGTATTTCCTTTCAGATCTGGACCAGGGCATCACTGAGCTCCTGAACAGTCTGAGGTGCAACCTGGCAGCATTGGATGGACCAAAACATGATATCCCAGAGGTGTTCTATTGGATTTAGGTCAGGTGAGTGTGGGGGCAATTCAATGTTATCAATTCCTTCATCCTCCAGGAATTGCCTTCATACTCTCGCCACATGAGGCCGGGCATTGTCGTGCACCAGGAGGAACCCAGGAATCACTGCACCAGCATAGGGTCTGACAATGGGTCTAAGGATTACATCCCAATACCTAATGGCAGTCAGGGTGCCATTGTCTCGCCTGTAGAGGTCTGTGCATCCCTCCATGGATTTCCTTCTCCAGACCATCACTGACCCACCACCAAAACGGTCATGCTGAATGATGTTACAGGCAGCATAATGTTCTCCATGGCTTCTCCAGACCCTTTCACATCTGTCACATGTGCTCAGGGTGAACCTGCTCTCATCTGTGAAAAGCGCAGAGCACCAGTGGCAGAGCTGCCAATTCTGGTGTTCAATGGCAAATGCCAATCAAGCTCTATGGTGCTGGGCAATGAGCACAGGGCCACTAGAGGACATCAGGCCCTCAGGCCACCCACATGAAGTCTGGAGGTCATTTTGTAGGGCTCTGGCAGTGCTCCTCCTGTCCCTCCTTGCACAAAGGAGCAGATTCCGGTCCTGCTGATTGGTTAAGGACCTTCTACAGTCCTGTCCAGCTCTCCTAGAGTACCTGCCTGTCTCCTGGAATCTCCTGCATGCTCTTGAGACTGTGCTGGGAGACATAGCAAACCTTCTGGCAATGACACGTATTGATGTGCCATCCTGGAGGAGTTGGACTGCCTGTGCAACCTCTGTAGGGTCCAAGTATCATCTCATGCTACCAGTAGTGACACTGACCCTAGCCGAATGAAAAACTAGTGAAAAACAGTCATAAAAGATGAGTAGGGAAAAAAATGTCAGTGGCCTCCACCTGTAAAACCATTCCTGTTTTGGGGGTTGTCTCATTGTTGCCCATCTAGTGCACCTGTTGTTCATTTCAATAACACCAAAGCAGCTGAAACTGAAACTGATTAGCAACCCCCTCTACTGACCAGATCAATATCCTAGGCATTTTACTGACTAGATGCTATACTCTGATTAAAAAGTGTTCCTTTAGATTTTTTGAGCAGTGCATAATAAAAAACCTAATACATATACTATATGATATAACACATAGAAATAAGGATTATAAAAACAATAACGCACATTGGTTAGATTTATACATCCACGTAATAATTAAAGTAATGAATAAAAAATATTACAAGACTATAGGTTCCTTTTAGAGGGATTCTGATTGATCTCTTTTATGTTCCCTTCTTTACAGCTGCCAGGAGCTGCAAAGAGCTTCAGAATCAGGGTGAAGTTTTGAGTGGCTGGTACACCATATACCCAGATGGCACCCAGCCCATGAAGGTCCTGTGTGACATGAACACAGATGATGGTGGTTGGATTGTAAGCATTACAGTATAGAAGAAAATGAAACCATTCATGTATCAGAGAAATTATTAAAACATTTTAATTTATAGAGACACTTTCACTACTTAATGGCCCTGTAATCCATTTTTCATGAAACTGTTTCTTACTTCATTTTTTCTGCTTTGTTGCACCACCCTCCCCAAGCTTCCAGACCTCTCCTTTTCCTCTCACTTCCATCTGTCTAGAACAAGCAGTGCACCTTAGCTGTGGTCATGTGCACTGCTCTATGCACACTACAAATCCCATAGTCCAGCAAGAGAGGGTGGCTATATTATTACTGTAGCACTCACCCCCAAAAGGGCCCGCTGTCTTGCCCCAGGTTCCTAAGCTCTTCCCAAGCTAGAGCACTGGCAGCCAGGCACACAGTAACCATTCCTCTTCTGGCTCAGTGAACAGTCTAGGGGTAGCTTTTGATGCATTATCGTAAGTCGAACTTGGATAGGGTGTAGGGAAACTGTGGGATACTCCAGTAGCACAATGTAGTAACACAAGGACACTCTCAAAGCTTCTTAATATGGTCCCTCCGGCAGCAACTAAGAGACTGAGCAACACCATAGGAAATGTCCCAATGTAAGAAAACTCTGGCACTGATGCACAAGGGATAGTAGCAGTACACAGTCACTAGGATCCTACACTCAAGTCTGTACTCACGATATCCCTGGATACTTGGATGCCTCCTTCCAATATTGGCTGAACATTCACCAGTGAACTACCCAGACCAGATCCTCAGTGAAATCCCTTAATCAGTTCCAGCAAGTTTCAACAGGACATGACCCCCCCCCAGCTCTAGGGTAGCCGGGTACTTGTTGAGCACATGTACAACTGCAGCTGAACTGCCCAGGAGGGCAGCAGCCCCTAAGGCTTGGAACTTCTCCTCCTGGGCAAGAACACAGCTGCCTGAGGCCCCAGACTCTTTATGCAACCCTCAGCCACCTGCTGAGCATCCTTCTCCAGAGATTGACCAAGACCACAAAAAATTCAGGCTGTGGATCTGCCTCTTCCAGCCCACTACATTCTGGAATCCACCCGAAGGCAGGGGGGAAACATTTGAGCCTGCAGCCTGTGAAAAAGCATGAAAGCAAAGAGGGCACAAACGCCAGGCGCATTACCTTAAAACACTTTATTAGATATAAAAAACAAAAGTTTTACTCACAAACCAAGTAAGTAATAGGCATGTGATTGCATAAGCACACAATGTTGACTGCTCTCCACCTCTAGCTGAAGACAAGATGGTGTGAACTGTTTCGGGGACCCTGTCCCCTTCCTCAGAGCCAGGGTCCCCGAAACGCGTGGGTGTTTATGCAACCACATGCCTATTACCTGTTTTAAGGTAATACGTTAGCGCCAGGGGTGGACTGACCATTTGGAAACTCGGGCACTGCCCGAGGGCCCGGGGTCAGTAGGGGGCCCCATGAGATGCCCCTGGTACCTTTTTCATAGGCTTTTTTGAGTTTGGGCAAGGACACAGGGGCCCCATGATCCCCTATTGCCCGGGGGCCCCATGAGTTATTATCAGTCCGCCCCTGGTTTGCGCCCTCTTTGTTTTCATGTTTTTGTGCAGTGTTGGATTTCCCCAGTCTGAGGAGGGCTGCACTGCCTTTTTGTTCCAGTCCTGGCTGTGAAAAGTCCATGGGACTACACCTAGAGGGATGGTATCCATTTCTGAGCGCCAAGTGTCAAGTTTGACAATTGTTCTATCTGCAGCCTGTGAAGCCTAGAACAGCCCAAAGTAATCACAAAACAGCTCCACTGACTACAGGGGAGCAATAAAAGACTAAACCAACCTAACCTTTCTAGCAATCTGGAAGGTGCTAGGCTACATACTATAGAACCATGGAAAATGAACGTAGCCACCCTCTAACAGGAAGTCAGATCATAACACCAAATAAAAAGGAAATGTGAGATTTGGAGGAAGCCGGAAGCAATAGAAGGTACTTTTTTGAGTTAAGAATTTGTTTTAACCACTTTAAACCACATGTCACTTTATATAAATTATTTTATAACCAAATGCAAAGGAGAACATGTAATTCTCATTTCTGACCAGAAGGGGAGCTCTTTCCTTATTTATAGCTGCATTCTGCCTTTCTAGGGATTCAGTAAAAGTAAAATGGAAATAGCTGTATGTTATTATTATGATGATGATTATTATTATTCAGGATTTATATATAGCGCCAAACAGCTTGCATAGCGTTTTGCAATATAAAGGGAGACAATACAGCAACAATACAGTTCAATACAAGAGGGTCCTGCTCTAAAGAGCTTACAATCTAATAGGGTGGGGCAAGTGGTATAAAAGGTTATAACTGTGGAGAGTGCATATATTGGGAATTAGAGGATACTTGAGATCGCGTGACTGCTTTGCAATTTTTTTTGTTCTGGAGGACATTTTTCTGTTCAAGTACCACCCACAAATTTTTTGATCTGGATGGCCACCCTGATTTGTGTCAAGACACAAGAAAACAAATCTTTAGAATAAATCAGAGGAACTAGAAATATTGGTGGTGCTGTTGCTGACTTAATAAAGGGTCAGGATTCATGGGCTGATTTGCTGATCCTGGCTTTACTACTTACTGAACTGTTGCTGAACTGAAAAAAAAAAGCATGCAGCCAGTGAAGGAGAAATAAAGTTGCACACCCACAATTATTTACAGGATTCCAACAAAACGTTAACCTCAATATAAGCATTTGTTTAAAATGTATAACAACCAACTCTCCCTGCCTCCTCCTATGACTCCTCCAATACCCATACTCACCTAATAAGCAGGGATTTGGCAGTACGGGTGAATCTAGGCACTAGAGGGTATCTAGGGGGCTAAGGGGGAAGGCTTGGGGATTCTTCATTTTGACATCTTTAATCCTAGCAGATCTATGCTACGGTAAATCAAGAATTTTTAGACCGAAATAGAGAAATTTGTAAGCTACGGGTATCTTGGATCCATTTTCGGCTCTCTCTGCAGGTGTTTCAGCGTCGTTGGGACGGGTCAGTGGATTTCTTCCGGAACTGGGCAGACTACAAGAAAGGCTTTGGTAGCCGTTTGAATGAGTTTTGGCTGGGAAATGACAATCTCCATAAAATAACATCCACAGGTAAGAGATGGCGGAGGCAGACAATTCAAGTTTAACCACTTGCCCTCCTGAGAATTTACCCCCCTTCCTGACCAGGCCGCTGCATTACTGTAATTGACAGTTGCGTGGTCATGCAACGCTGCACCCAAATGAAATGTATGTCTTTTTTTTTTCCCATGAATTGAGCTTTCTTTTGGTGGTATTTGATCACCTCTTCGTTTTTAGTTTTGTTTGCTCTATTATCAAAAAAAGACTGACAATTTTGGGAAAAATATTTTTGACTTTTTGCTATAAAACATATCCAGTAAAAAAATTTTAAAAATCAAATTTCATCATAAATTTAGGCCAAAATGTATTCTTCTACAAAATCCCAATACGTGTAAACTAATTGGTTTACGTGAAAGTTATAGTGTCTACATATGGCGGTATATATACTGGAATTTTTTTTTGGGTTTTTATACTAGTAATGGAGGCGATCAGTGACTTAGAGCGGGACTATGGCAGGCATTCTGACACTGGGGGGGGGGGGAACTGACTAGCTGTATCATTTATTTACAGACCTCTCCCCCATTAGCGATACTGAGCAATCGCCGGGTGCCGGCGGGGAATCTCCAGCCGGGACCTGGTGATTGATAGCTGTACCTGGAAATACAAAATCATGTATATATACACACATGATTTTGCACAGCCCTACCTCCCTGTGGCAGTATTTGTGCTATAGGGTGGTGGGGAGGCGGTTAATACTGCATACAGGACCAGGACAAGGTCATCCAGCGCCCAGGGCAAGGATCCAGAATTGCGTCCTTCCCCCACTGTAAATACATGCCATAGAATAGGTGTACCACCCTGCATCTCTCCTTTGCCCCCTTGCTTCTATATGCCCAGGGCAGTTGCCCCTCCTGCCTACCCATTGTTCTGGCCCTGACTGCATATAATCAGTTTATTAAAAACTGAGATTTTATAGATGATTCACACCACAGTGCTGTCACTACGTTTGCTCTGTCATATTTTTATATATCACAGCAAGGTCTGTAAATTCTGCGATTTGTATATCATCTAATGCTCCCAGTGTCATAGCTGAATGGCTGTGGCACAAAAAACAATTACAAGATAAGCCACCTGAAAAGTACACCATTTTCAGTGTACAGTAACTGTCGATGGCACCCTTTCCATTGGCTTGCACTGATACAAGGAGAACTTAAGGGCTGGTTTACACGTGCAGCCAGGGACCGGTAAAAAAAAAATAGATGGATGAGCCTCGTTTTTATTACCTTCTGGCCACCCACTTAAACTGCAAAAGCAGCCAGATGGGGACGTATATACGTCATGGCAAAAATTATACCCCTGTAATGTTAGGTAGGCAGTATCTCCACCTAATGTGACTTTTTCAAGTGAATTGCCTCTCCATGCTACACTGTCCAATTTTCAGTTTTCAGCGCTGATGAATAACAATTGTGCGGTCATGCAACACTGTACCCATATGACATTTTTATCTTTTTTTTCACACAAATAGAGCTTTCTTTTGGTGGTATTTTGGATTATTTTTTGCACTATAAATGAAAAAGTGCAAACATTTTGAAAAAAAAAAAGGTTTTCTTTGTTTCTGTTATAACATTTTGCAAACAGTTAATTTTTCTCCTTCACTGATGTTCATTGATGAGGCAGCACTGATGGGCATTGCTAGGCAGCACTGTGATAGGCAGCACTGATGGGCACTGATAGGCTGCACTGATGAGACAGCACTGGTTGGCAGTGATGATGCTGCACTGATGATGCTGCACTGATATGCGGCACTGATGGGCACTGATAGGCGGCAATGATGGGCACTGATAGGTAGCAATGATGGGCACTAAAATGTAGCACTGAAGGGCACTGACTGGTGGCACTGATAGGCAGCACTGACTGGCAGATCTGATGGGCACAGACTGGCAGCACTGCTGGGCAGCACGGTTTGGCACTGATAGGCAGCACTGTTGGGCACTTTTGGGGCTGCACTAATAACCAGGGCAATGATAAGCAGTGCCCTGATTATCAGCGTAGATTTCTGCTTTTACAGTTTCCGGTCATCAGCAGTACTTTCCTCGCGCTGTGACATTGTGAGAAAAGTACTGCCGATTACCAGCAAGTGTATTTACATGGTGGTCAGCTGTGATTGGACACAACAGATCAAGTGGTAAAAGACCGCTGTGATTGACCTTTTATGGTGTCATGTGATCAGCTGTGTCCAATCGGCACAGCAATCACAGACAGCGCCAGGTGCTCTCCACTGGGGGCGTGCGGGGGCACTTCTGAGAGGACCTCATATGACACCCTCCCAGAACTGGAAGACCACACTGTAGCTGTCATTCTGCTATAGCGCGGTAGTGAAGTGGTTAAAGGGGTGGCTAGCCAGGTCTACATAAATAATAAATCCAGCAGGAAGAGTGGGTGCCCCTCATATTGGGTACAACAGATAAGTAGGGCCAGGAACTAAGAGCAGGGACCTCACTATTACAGCTGCCCCCCCCCAAAAAAAGAAACGCAATAGTCATTATATGTTGATCAACGCTTTAAATACAATTCAGTTTTTCACAAATAACTTTTTTTGCCTGGAGTTCATCTTTAAGCTTAAAGTGGATGTAAACCTGAAACATAAAATATGAACAAAGCATATCTCTCGATAGTGTATACTTGTCTCAATTAAATGCACTAAGTGTCATTTCTGTTTGTTGCTACATTTCTGTCTGCTATCAGCATGAATCACTTCTGACAAGTTTTACTGACACCAAGAGAAAAATGGTGACAGGGGAGGAAGCTCCAGCACACAGCCTCAGCTCTGTGTGGAGGGGGGTGTGTCCCTTCCCTCCAATCAGCTCTCAGAGCTCTCCTAACTGTGTGTAATTTCAGCTCTCCACCCCGTTTCTGAAAGGTCAGACAAGCTGTATAAATTCTGGACTTAGAATGGATGTAGGGAAGAGAGACTGCAAATAAACAGGTACAACTCATGCAGCAGGATTTGTTCCATCTCTGTGCATCACTTGAGGCCAGTCACTTCACTGGGTATATGTGAGGGTTTACAACCACTTCAATGCTATATAGGGCTGTTTATAATGGATATTGGCTCTATAATGGTTAGCACTTCCGCCTGGCAGTACTAGGGTCGTTGGTTCGAATCCCAGCCACGGCACCTCCTGCCTGGAGATTGCATGTTCTCCCTGTGCCTGCGTGGGTTTCCTCCGGGTACTCCGGTTTCCTCCCACACTCCAAAGACATGCTGGTAGGTTAATTGACTCCTGTCTAAATTGGCCCTAGTATGTGTATGTATGAATGTAAGTTAGGGACCTTTGATTGTACGCCCCTTGAGGGTTAGGGACTGATGTGATATGTAAAGCACTGCGCAATATAAGTACCTGTACTAAATAAATAAATAAATATAGGGCATCGCAGTGTTTATGCCACACTGAGCCTTCGTTTTACCACTCATTTATAAAATGCAGGTCGCAGTGTGAAGCCTGTTGTGTCTGTCGGAGTGTTATCTGCTTACCACACCAGAGAACACTCTCTGATAGGAAGAGAACTTGGTCACACGACTTTGACTAATTTTTTTTTTAATTATTAATGTAGCGGAATGTCCCAGATAAAGCCGTAAACCTGCTTTAGAAGATATCTGAGAGATAAAAAATACATGAAGAAATTATTGCTGAGCCAAGATTATGGGGCCAAAACCTATGCCTGACAGCGAGTCACACTATAATATATATTTCTGTTGTAAATTGCTAAACATTTTTTTTCTGTAAAGGTAAATGGGAACTGCGCATCGAACTGCAGGATTTTGAAAATAAAAAAACATTTTGCCAAGTATGCAGAGTTCAAAGTCTTGGATGAGGTGGAAAAGTACCAGTTACTCATTGGGCCCTATAAGGAAGGTGATGCAGGTAAGTGACAGCTCAGTAGAATGCACTGCAGAGTGTATTAGGTTATTGTGCTTATTTGAGACTTACTCTAAAGCAGGGATCTCTAAACTGCGGCCCGGGGGCCAGATGTGGCTCTTTGCTTGCTTTTATCTGACCATTGGCTCACAATTTCATCCATTGATACCAACAACGGGACATAATTCCCGCACTGAAATCAATGAAGGAGAACAATTCTTCCCAGTGACACCAACAATGGGGCACAATTTCTACCAATGACACCAATCATGAAGCACAATTCCTCCCAATGACACCAATGATGGAGAACAATTCCTCCCAATGAAACCAATGATGGAGAACAATTCCTCCCAATGAAACCAATGATGGAGAATTATTCCTCCCTAAAACACCAATGATGGAGGACTATTCCTCCCAATGATGCCAATAATAAAGAACAATTCCTCCCAATGAAACCAATGATGGAGAATTATTCCTCTCAATAACACCAATGATGGAGGACTATACCTCCCAATGATGCCAATGATAAAGAACAATTCCTCCCAATGACACCAATGATAAATAACAATTCCTCCCAATGAATCCAATGATGGAGAATTATTCCTCCCAATGAAACCAATGATGGAGAACAATTCCTCCCAATGATGCCAATGATAAAGAACAATTCCTCCCAATGAAACCAATGATGTAGAACAATTTCTCCCAATGATGCCAATGATAAAGAACAATTCCTCCCAATGAAAACAATGATGGAGAACAATTTCTCCCAATGACACCAATTATGAACAACAACTCCTCCCAATAACACCAAGGATAAAGAACAATTCCTTCCAATGACACCAATGATAAAGAACAATTCCTCCCAATGAAAACAATGATGGAGAACAATTCCTCCCAAAGACACCAATGATGGAGAACAATTCCTCCCAATGACACCAATAATAAAGAACAATTCCTCCCAATGAAGCCAATGATGTAGAACAGTTCCTCCCAATGACACCAATTATGGAGAATAATTCCTCCCAATGACACTAATGAAAGAAGGTGATGCAAGAAAGTGGCAGCTCAGTAGAATGCACTGCAGCATGTATTAGGTTATTGTGCTCATTTGAGACTTGCCATAAAGCAGTGATCTCCAAACTGTGGCCCGGGGGCCAGCTGTGGCCCTTTGCTTGCTTTTATCTGGCCCTTGGGGCACAATTTCATCCATTGATACCAACAACGGGGCATAATTCCCCTACTGACACCAATGTAGGAGAACAATTCCACCCAATGACACCAATTAAAGAACAATTCCTCCCAATGACACCAATTATAAAGAACAATTCCTCCCAATGACACCAATGATAAAGAACAATTCCTCCCAATGACACCAGTGATGAAGAACAATTACTCCCAATGAAACCAATGATGGAGAAGAACTCCTCCCAATGATGCCAATGATAAAGATCATTTCCTCCCAATGACACCAATGATAAAGAACAATTCCTCTCAATGACACCAATGATAAAGAACAATTCCTCCCAATGAAACCAATGAAGGAGAACAATTCCTAACAATGGCACTAATGATAGGGGAACAATTCCTCCAAATTAAGAACAATTCCTCCCAATGAAACCAATGACGGAGAACAATTCCTCTCAATGACACCAATGATGGAGAACAATTTCAACCTATGACACCAATGATACAGAACAATTCCTCCCAATGACACCAATGATGGAGAACAATTCCTCCCAATGACACCAATGATGGAGAACAATTCTTCCCAATGAAACCAATGATGGAGAACAATTCCTCCTAATGACACCAATGATGGAGAACAATTTCTCCCAATGACACCAATGATGAAGAACAATTCCTCTCAATGACACCAATGATGGTGAACAATTCCTCCCAATGACACCATTAATGGAGAACAATTCCTCCCAATGAAACCAATTATGGAGAAAAACTCCTCCCAAAGACACCAATGATAGAGAACAATTCCTCCCAATGACACCAATAAATGGGGCACAATTACTACTACTGAAACAAACTATGGGGCATTATTTTTTTTTCCTACTAATGTTGGGACCTTCTCTACTCCCATTAGCCACAGTCTGGCCCCACTAAAGTCTGAAGGATAGTGAAATGGCCCTTTGTTTAGAATGTTTGGAGATCCCTGCTATGAAGAATATCAACAATGGGTTTAAAGCTAGCTCAAGACAGAATTAGATATGCTATTGGGTAGAAGCTGCACTAAAAAGCAGTCCTGGGGATGGACAAACTAGATGGTCTTGACCCCCAAAGGAAAGGTCAATATACGCTGTATAAACGATCCCTGGACTGAATGTACTTCATGGGAATCTGTTCTTCAGAATAAAACTCATAACAAATACACCTAGAACTCATGTAGCCTCATAAAGGTGATTCAAAAACAAAAAAAGAAAATCTTGGTGCAGTAAATTATAACCATTTCTTAAAAAAATAGTAATGCAACATACATAAGGTAAGTTAAAATCAGCATGTCACCCGAACCACAATATTTGTGGTTATTGTTTCAAACCGATAAGATGGCCACCACATTCCGGTGCAGGATGATGTCATACGCACTGGCTCATCCAACGCGTTTCATCATCTATGATGTATGTCAGGGACCCCTTTAGACTTTAAAATAGACCTAAATGTGATTTTGTGTTTTATTATTGTATTTATATTAAGGACAAGAAGGCTGAATCTTCCTAATGGGGACACAGACAGCAATACAAACCTGATAGGTGTTCTAATTCCTCTCAACTCTATCCAAAACTAAAAAAGAAAGCTTTGCATTTAGTCATACATTAAGGGCTTGTTCACACAGGCTGGCTACTGTGTCTACCCATGTGAGAGCTGAGTTTGCCCACAGCACCATCCCCCACACCCCCCTAAAACTCACCTAAGCCCCCTCTTGATCCAGCGATGTGAACTGGCATCTCTGAAACTCCAGGACTCCCTCTCTTCATGGCTAAGAGAGCAGCGGGAGCCATTGGCCCCCACTGCTGTCAATCATAGCCAGTGAGCAAATGAGAAGAGAGGGGGCAGTGCCAAGCTTCAGCTCTGTGTTTGGGTGCACACATAGAGCAATGGGTGCCCCCATAGCAAGCTACTTGATGTGGGGGCATTCGACAGGAGGGAGGTGTCAGGAGCGCCTGCGGGGGAACCTGAGAAGAGGAGGACCTGGGCTGTTCTGTGCAAAATCACCCCAGAGAGTAGGCAAGTGTGATGTGTTTGTTATTTACAAAAAAAAAAACTTAAAGTGTTACTACACCCACAACAGTAAAATCAGTCTGTATATGTAGTAAAGCATGCTTGTTATATTCACTGTGGAACCTAAGGAGTTAATCCTCTGCATTGTGTAAAAAGGATGTTTGATCCTGACTTCTCTAATCCTCCCCTTCTCCAAGTATCCCCCTGTTATCTCCTGATAAGACATATCGTGTGGAGACACTCTGCACATTCTCAGTTTGGTGTGTATTGCTAGAAAGTTGTTTTTTTTCTCTTGGGAGAGTGCATGTGATCAGCACAGGGCCAATGAGCACTGTCCAGACAGAGATCAGGAGTTCTGCATCCTCGTAGAGCAGAAAGAAAGCTCCTCCTACAAGCTTTAACCAGTGTTCTGCTGAACACTGATAGCAGTTACAAGACTGCTCCAGGGGCGGACTGACAACTCATGGGGCCCCTGGGCATTAGGAGATCATGGGGCCCCTGTGTCCTTGCCCAAACTCAAAAAAGCCTATGAAAAAGGTACCAGGGGCATCTCATGGGGCCCCCTACTGACCCCGGGCCCTCGGGCAGTGCATGAGTTTCCAAATAGTCAGTCCGCCCCTGGACTGCTCTAACTGCTGATGAGAAAAGGTATTGAGCAGTTTTTATTTACTAAAATAATAGCATTTCCATGTCCTGTGTACAGTGGGAGACCAAATATAGGGAATGCAAAGTCCTGGGTTTAGTAACACTTTAAGCCATTAATATCCCTTTAATGCAACTTTTGAGAGTTTATATTGCAGTCTATGGCACTCAAGTTGCATGAAAGTCGCATGGAAGCAGTGCAGGAATCTTTTTACAGTCGCTGCAGTTTTACATTACATAGATTTGAATGACTTCCATTGAAATACATGGGCTGCGAGTTGTCATGCGACTTTATGTGTTCAAAGTCGCAATACAAGTCGCATGTGTGCCATTCAGCTTCCAGCGGTTATATTTCTCTGTATCTCTTCCTAGGAGACTCGATGTCTGGTCTGAACGGCATGAAGTTTAGTACAAAGGACCAGGACAATGACACCTTTGAACATGAGTGCGCCAAGCTCTACAAAGGAGGCTGGTGGTACAACAACTGCCACGCCGCAAACCTGAATGGACTGTACCACCTGGGGGTGCACACATCCAACGCGGATGGGGTCAACTGGTATAGTGCCAGGGGACACAAATACTCATTTAAACATGTGGAAATGAAGATCAGAGCTTTATTGCATTGAGAAAACATTGTAGTGGAAAAGAGAGATGATGAACAGCAGGTTCAATTTTTTTTTTTTTCATTTAACCACTTCCAGTCCAGACACTTTTACCCCCCTTTTCCTGACCAGGCCAATTTTTATGATACGGCGCTGCGTTACTTTAACTGACAATTGCACAGTCATGCAGTGCTGCACCCAAATGAAATTTGTGTCCTTTTTCCCACAAATGGAGCCTTCTTTCGGTGGTAATTGATCGCCTCTGCGTCTTTTTTTTTTTTTTTTGCGCTATAGACAAAAAAAGACCGACAATTTTGGAAAAAAAAAACAATATTTTTGACTTTTTGCTATTAAACATGTCCAGTAAAAAATTTTTAAAAATCGTCATAAATTTAGGCCAAAATCTATTCTGCTACAATAAAATACCAATACGTGTAAATTAATTGGTTTACTTGAAAGTTATACAGTCTACAAATGGCGGTAGATATACCGGAATTTTTTTTTTTGTTATATTAGTAATGGTGGCAATCAGCAACTTATAGCGAGACTGCGGCGGCCATTCTAACTGCCACTGACATCCCCAGTGACACTAATACATCGATCAATGCTAATAAAAAGCACTGGCACTGTACTAATGACACTGGGCAGGAAGGGGTTAACATCTGGGGCCAGCAAAGGGTTACCTGTGTGCTGTGTTGTGTTTTACTATGTGCTGTTTTACTAGGGAGGTATGCTGTTTCATATTGCTCTGCTGTGCAGAGTCATACAAAGCAGTGTGCTGGAGCTGACAGGGGAGAGATCTATTTTGTTTACATACAGACCTCTCCCCTGTCACTGTTCCTCGGTGATCGCCAGGTACCAGTGGGGAAATACAAAATCACATATATGTACGTGGTTTTGCACAGCCCTGCCACCCCTTAGCAGTAGTTCTGTTATAGGGCGGTTAAAGTGAACCTTTGCCCAAAGTTACATTAATGATGCAGATCACTGATGAGAGGAAACCGAGGGAATGTTTCATCTTGCCTGCAACAGATCGATAACAGGCAGTCACTTGACTTGAGCTGAGGGACAGTTAAAAAAAAATACAGTTTTGCTATATATTATAACATGTCAGAAATATATTCATGCAGACTTGTAAAGTTACTGAATAGAACATTTTAAACTCATGTTTTCCACCTGTATTTTGCTTTATGCAATACACTTTGTTTTACAAATAAACTTTTTAATATGACAAACGATTCCCAAAGTAAACTGTTTTTTTCCAAAGAGACAGAAAAGCCTAACTTGAGTCATTTCTATGATTCATTCAGCTGTGTATCTAAATTTCAGCTTGAGCTATTGTGTTCTGTTCCCAGCTGGCTTTTTTATTATCAAAGGGGCCAAGGAGATCCTGTAAATGAGCCCAAAGCTCAATTTTATAGCTAAAAAAACACACATTTTAAAATACAAATTTAATTTTTTCCAGAGTAAAAAATAAGAATAACAGTTCTTTTAGGTCTGACTGTGATAATAAAATACATTCTGCACGTCATAGAAAAAGGATGAAGTCACTAAATAAAATTTAGATTTCATACTTTGCTTGCCTTAGGCCTTAGGACAGGGGTGTGAAACTGGCGGCCCTCCAGCTGTTGTGAAACTACAAGTCCCATCATGCCTCTGCTTTTGGGAGTCATGCTTGTAACTATCAATCTTCCAATGCCTCATGGGACTTGTAGTTTGGCAACAGTTGGAGTTCCACCAGTTTGACACCTGTGGCCTAGGAGGACAGGAGTGTTGTATTTAGACACACCATCCTAGGCACACATGAATTGCATAAGAGTTATGTCATCCCTTGCCGGCCAATCAAGAGAGTCGAATACTGGCACCTGAAAGAAGTCATGGAGAAGATGTCAGCTCTGCTGAGGGTGACTTACGTTCTGCTTTAACAGAACAAGCTGTCTGGCAAAGGTGGCAGTTAGAGGGTTGAGACATACCATTCAACAATGACAGCTTTTATTTATTTATGCAAAACCTTTATCCCGAGAAGGAAAAAAAATGTTCTTGTAACTGCTTAAAAATTGTTAGTTGGAGTTGGTACATACCGTAGACATTGGACAGGAAGCTTTGCCGATGCAGACTAATAAACATGTACGTCACCTCGCATTGATGGCTCCTGCACAGCTCACAGAGCGCGTACCCGGGATCCCGGCAATCGATATGTAGCCCGGACACAACGGGTCACATTACCACTGTGTCCTGGAGATCACATGGTGTTTTACCATGTGACTGCTGTGACCAATCACAGCATTCACATAGTAAACCACAAAAAGTGAAAGTAAAGATCGCTTCTCTCTGCTCTCAGTGTCCTGATCACCGCCATACCCCAAACCAATGCGATGATCACTGCCATGCCCCAAACCAATGCCATGATCACTGCCATACCCCATACCAACATCCTGATCACCGCCATACACATACCAGAATCCTGATCACCACCATGTCCCATACCAGCATCCTGATCACCCCATATGCCATACCAGCACCCTGATCACTGCCATACACCATACCAGCATCCTGACCACCACCATGCCCCATGCCAGCATCCTGATGACCGCCATGCAACATACCAGCATCCTGACCACCACCATGCCCCATGCCAGCATCCTGATCACCGCCATGCAACATACCAGCATCCTGATCACCGCTATGCCCCATGCCAGCATCCTGATCACCGCCATGCCCCATACCAGCATCCTGACCACTGCTATGCCCCATGTCAGCATCCTGACCACCGCCATGCCCCATGCCAGCATCCTGATCACCGCCATGCCCCATACCAGCTTCCTGATCACCACCATGCCCCATACCAGCATCCTGATCACCGCCATGCCCCATACCAGCTTCCTGATCACCGCCATGCCCCATACCAGCTTCCCGATCACCACCATGCTCCATACCAGCATCCTGATCACCACCATGCCCCATACCAGCATCCTGATCACCCCATATGCCATACCAGCACCCTGATCACTGCCATACACCATACCAGCATCCTGATCACAGCCATGACCCATACCAGCATCCTGATCACCATCATGCCCCATGCCAGCAAGGCTCCCACTTTCCATTCATCACACATCTGCATCAGAGGCTGGTCATTAGCTCTGAGGAAAGGGATTTGTCACCGAAACGCGTCATTTGACCGCACTGACAGTGAGAACACCTTGCCTGCCGTTGTGGCCATTGTCATTTTTCTATGCTTTTTAGATACATGCTTCGTCTGTGAGTATGTTTTTATTATTTTTTCACGCCTCACAATAAACCTTGGATAATGCACTAGGTGTGTGCGCCACCTGTTTTCTCTCTATCCAGTGGCTGATTTCCCCGTCTGAGGAGGGCTGCACCCCTGAAGCATTTCCTTTGGTTGTCGCTGTCCTGGTACCCTTGGCTTCCCTTTTGGCTGTGCATATCCTGAGGCGCTGGAGAATACATACACAAAATAACAAATATATACGTGTCTTTGCAGTTCCGGGTAGGAAGTGCGCGCCCTACCCACGCCGCCATTTGCTGCCTCAGCTGTCAATCACTGGGTCCCGACCCGTGATTACTCGCCGACACCCAGTGATACCCAAGTATTACTGACAGGTGAAAGAACTGCATGTAAAAAATACAGTTCTCTCCCCTGTCAGCTCCTGCACACTGCTTTGTATGGCTCTGCATAGCCATACAAAGCAGTGTGCTTACAGTGAAGCACACACACAGCACATAATGTGAAACAGCACAAAGTTAACCCTTTGATCGCCTCAGATGTTAACCCCTTCCTGCCCAGTGCCATTAGTACAGTGACCGTGCTTTTTATTAGCACTGTATTGGTGTCACTGAGGATGTCAGTGACACCAAGTCAGTTACCCCCAGTGTCAGAATCCCCGCCGCATTCCTGCTATAAGTCGCTGATCACCGCCATTACTAGTAAAAAAAAAAAAAAATTCCAGTATATATAACGCGATTTGTAAACGCTATAACTTTCACGTAAACCAATTAATTTACACGTACAGTATTGGGATTTTTTTTAGCAAAAGACATACATTTTGCCCTACATTTATGACAAAATTTTTTTATATTTTTTTTATTGGACATGTTTAATAGCAGAAAGTTAAAAATATTGTGGTTAAAGTGTTATTAAACCCTCAACAGTAAAATCAGTCTGTATATGCAGTAAAGCATGCTTGTTATACTCACTGTGGAACTTAAGGGTTAATCCTCTGCATCGTGTGAAAAGGGTGTTTGATCCTGACTTCTCTAATTCTCCCCTTCTTCTACTGTCCCCATTTCATCTGTTGATAGAACAGAACCTTGGGGGCAAGCCGCACATGCTCAGTTTGGTGTGTATTGCTAGAGAGTTTTTTCTTTTTATTAGGAGGGTTTTTGTGATCAGCACAGGGCCAATCAGTACTGTCTAGACAGAGGGTCAGGGGTCCTACAGCCTCATCAGACAGTGAGAGGAGAATGAAAACTCAGCCTACAAGCTTTAACCAGTGCTCAGCTGGACACTATTAGACAGTCACAAGACTGCTCTAACTGCTGATGAGAAAAGGTATTTAGCAGTTATATTTACAAAAATAATTGCACTTCCATGTTGTATGTACTGTGGGAGACTAGATATAATGAATGCAGGGTCCTGGGTTTAGTAACACTTCAAATTGTCACACCTTGTATTGCTGGCCGGATCATCAGGAAAAAATAGAGCAAAAAAAAAAAAAAAGGAAAACGGAAACTATTGCAGCCACCACATCTAAGGATTGGCTAGCTGCAATATATTTCAATGATATTATAAATAACATTTTTGTTTTGGGGGTTTAGATTTACTTCAAGCCTGGAGAACTGGTTCAATGAGTTGTAGTCCTCCTTGCACCTATCAGCATGCAGGATTGGAATTACAGTGACTACAAGGGACTTTTCCCGCTATTGGAAGGAGAATCTATTTCTGAGATGATGTGAAGTGTCAGGCCAGTGAAAAGGAAGCGTGTGTAGTCTGTGGCAGATGG